GGGGCTCTGCACCGGCTGGCAGTCCAGGGCCCGGACCAGGCTCAAGGGAGCCTGGGCGAGGCGACCCCCGGCTCGTCGCTCGAGTCCCTGGACGCGGCCGGCCCGTCGCCGCCGGGGGAGGACGCGGGCGCGCGGCGAGGGGCCCGGTGCGAGTGCGGCGCGGGCGCGGCGGGGCGCGGCGGCCGCCTGGACTTCGCCTTGAGCCTGGTCCGGGCCCTGGACTGCAAGCCGGTGCAGAGCCCCCGCGGCAGCAGGCTGCCCGTCCCGGTCCGGGCAAGCGGCCTCGGCCACGACCCGGCGGACAGAGACGCGTGCCCGGGCTTCCGCAGCGCAGCCGGGAAGCCGCCTCCGGCCTCCCCGCTCGCCTTCCCCTTGGAGATGGCCGACCTGCAGGAGCTGTGGGACGACCTGGCCGCGGACTACCTGCCCCTCCGAGTCCAGGTAGAGGCCCGAGCGCTCGCCTCCCTGCAGGTGGCCAGGCAGCTTCCTGCGGGCACGATTTCTGCAGCCCTTCCACAGCTCGCCTGCAGTGGCTCTGCCAGCCACCGGTTTCTGCTTGCCTATTGATTTCCTCTGAGAAGTGCACACGCTGTAATCTAGCATGTTTACAGATTTTTTTTTTCCAGGTGTGGGACTTTCAGGGGGATATATCATTAAAGAAATTTTAATTTCTAGAGAAACCCTTTTCCTTTTGTTGCAATCTCTGTTAAGAGTAGTGATTCTTTTCTCTCTCTCTCGGTGGGGGAGGCATCCTTGTAGAAATGAGGTTAGATCCAGGAGTGTGTCCTCTGTAGTTTTCTGCAGCTGGGAGCTTCAGTATTTCAAGCAATTGGTGTATCTTAGGCATTTTCAAAAGTTTTGGAACTGATGGCCTGCATTGCCTGCCAACGTGCAGCTGAGAAAGCCCTTTCATCATAGGTTTACTTGCTTTTGCTTGAATTTTAAATCCCATTAAGTGGTAAGTTTCTGGTTATTTTTAATGAAGCATGCCTCTGTCAGCTCCAATTTGGAAGTTTCCATGTCAGTCTAATTGCATTGACATCAGTAGTAATTGCCACATGCTCGGTTATACACAGCCACCACCCTGATGATGATTGGTAGTAACTCACCCAAGTGGGTTTGTCCAGTTGTCAAGATCTAGCTTTGCATCTCTTTCTTGTGGCAGAATTTCTGTTAATCGCTTCATGGAGACCACAGGCTCTGAACACCCCCAGGAAATCCGATCCATTGAGTTTGGGAAGTGTAAACTTTCTGTGGTTCCTGACACAGATTGTTGCGTCCCCGTTCCCAGTTATTCCTGCAGAAATCCTGTTGCGGTTCGTAGGTGCGATTGTGGGCGAGACTGTGACCCTCTAGTGTTGTGCAGGTTCTGGTGGCTACTGGTCGCTGGTCGCCCATAGCCCAGGGTGCACTGTTTACGTTAGTGGGAAAAGGTCAGCTCCAGAGAGATGTGGTAAAATTCATGTATGAGAAAAGCAGGGGGGGTGCAGGTCTGGTGAATCTGAAGACCTGCTTAAGGAGAGACATCTGCTTTCTATTTTTTTTTAAAAAAAGCTCCTTGTCTAACTTCAGCCATTTGAGAGTGGAGCCTGTGCTTTAGCCAGCAGCCAGCTGCGTATTTTTCTTGACATGAAGTGTCCTGCTTCTCTGCACCCACGCCCTTATTTTCCCTGGCCGGAAATTTGCCGGAAAATGTGCTTGCACGAACGCTGTGCCTTGCCCCCGGGAAATGGCGGTGGAGGCCGATGCCCTCTTAGATGGCCATCCAGAAGCAGGAGTTCTTGCGCTGTGGGGGTTCGACCTGCTCCCTCAGCCCGCTCCCTCTCAGGCGCTTTGAACTGGCGCCCGCAGCGTTCCCGGCCATCGGCCCCACTCAGGGGGGTTGGTCTGGTGCGAGTGGAAGGTCAGGGAAGACGGGGCTACAGGGCCAGGCTTGGACCGGGAGACCTGGAGCCAGCTGCCCACTCGGCCTCCGTGTCCACGGGCCGTCCCCAGGGCGGCCCTGAGAACACAAGGGCGGAAGGGAAGCGGCCTTCTCTGCCCCGCTTGCCTTGGAGGATGGACAGAAGGAGCAGGGAGAGGAGGACTGGCAGGATGCCTTGACTTGGCAGCTGCACTGTGAGCAGCCCAAGGAGCAGGGGAAGCTGTGGAATTGGAACGGGCAGGGTAGGACCTTCCCTCATTCATGTGGCTTTCTGCTTCTGCGTAACCTCTTGACAGCCGAGCAGGAGCTGCTGCCGTGATGGAGACCGCCCCTGTACTCCAGCCTGCAGATTTCCCTCGGCTGCATTCAGCATTTAAAGTATTTATAGTGCAAAGTGGCATGCAGAGGCTACGTGAGGGGGCGTGCTTTCACCAGTGCCCCACATTTTGGAACTCTGTTGTCTGAGATCTCCAGGTAACCTGCTCTGCGGTTGCTTTTAAGTAGGCCCTGAAGATTTAGGTCCTCTGTTAGCTTTTCTGTGAACTGTTTACTGATGTGCTGCTGCTCATACCTGCTCATTAGCTCTACGTTAGGTTTATTTGTATTGCCTTTTAAATTATGATTATGAGTCACCTTGTGTGTGGCTCTGAGATAGGGCAACTTTATTTGAAACAAACGATTCACAGTTAGCCATGTTGTAAAAGCAGCTGTTAAGCAAGTCGGGTGCCACGGGCGGAACAAGTTCTTGAAACCGCAAAAGCTGACAGTAAACGAGCGCAAGCAGTAGTAAAATGGCCATGAAATAAAGAAGCAATTCTTGCAGGCCAGTGCTTGGTTTGCGGGCCTTGAGTGACAGGCAGCGCCCTTCGGGATTCACCTCCCGCAGCGGCGTTTCCGAGCCGCTTAAGGCGTGTCTTGGTGCGGGTCACGGCGGCCAGGCGTGTGGGGGCGCGACCAGCACTGCCACTGCAGGGCCCCGCTGGCCGTGGCCGTGACTCCGCGGGTCTGCCGCTCCCCCTCGCGCTCTGCGCGCCAGGCAGCCCGGGGCCGGCCGCTCCCTGGCCTCGCCACAGCCGCCCCTCCGGGCTCGGGGTGCAGCGCGAAGCCAGGGCTCCCCGCTGCCTCGAGGCTTCCCCCCACCACCCTCGTGGTGGCCGGCGGAGGGGGGCCCTGCCAGAGGCTCCACTCAGTGGACGGACGTGGAGCCGGAGGAGTGGAGCGGTGGCAGGGACGCCTGGCCAGGGCTGTGGCCGCTGGGCGCTGGCCCACTCAGGCAGGCCGTGCTGCGGCTTGTGCGGAGCCGTTCGGGTTCCCCCGGAAAACCCTTGCCCTGCGGAAGCCGGGGGAGAGACTGGCGTGTGGACCGGCTCGGTGCGGAGAGGGCAGGCCATGCCGCGCGGGGAGAGCACAGGCCCTTCCGCAGGCATGTTTCGGGGTTCGCCGGAGGAGGGTCTGGGCCCTGCTGGGTGGGAACGGTTGCGGGAGCGCCGCCTCGCTGTGGCGGGCCGGAGGGGCCGAGTGGCATCCCCGCCACGGGCCCCCTCCATAGTGGTGCTCACGGGGCGGAGGCCCCGAGGGGTGCGGGCCACGTCCGCCAGGGCCGGGGAGGATCCCGAGGGGCGTGCTGATGGGGCCGGTGCCCGGAGCTTTCGGAGGCAGCGCACCGTGGGCATTCCTGCAGCCCTGGGGCCTGCCCTGTGGGGCGGCAGCAGGGGGCACTGAGCAGGCCTTGGGAAGCGTGGCGCCACGTGGGGCCCCATCCTAGAAGCAAGGAGGGAGGCGGGCAGAGCGAGCCTGAGGCTGCGGGGCGCTGTGCAGGTGCGAGGAACAGATGAGTGGTGGGAGATGGTGTGGCAGGCGGGTATCGCAATACTGACGTGAACAGCAGGCCGGGCCCCTGCCTGTCCCGTCGGCCTCAGAACAGGCCCAGCGATGCTCGCCTTGCTCAGGAGCGCCCTGTGACTGCGGCGCTGTGCAGAAGGCGCCGTGGCCTTCGTGGGGCTCCCGCGGGTGGGTGCAGAAGGGGCTGCAGCCTGGCAGGGATCCCTGCCTGGATGTTGGGCGGTGGAGCCGGGGGAGGCTGGGGCACCACGAGGGAGCATAACTGGAGGAGGAAACGGCCGTGTCGCGTGGGTGTGCGCGAAGGAGGGCGCCAGGGCCTCGCGCCAGCCCCCTCCGCTCGCCAGCCCTCTCCCCCGGCGCTCCTCGCGGAACTGCGTGTCCAGAAAGGGAATGAGGTGCTGTCTCTGCCAGTCCTGCTCTTCCTTTCCTCCCTTCAGAACCTGCGTGACGACCTGCAGCAGGACGCCCAGTGTGACTTGTCGGTGCGCAAACGGGCAGCAGAATTAAGTGCCATGGAGCTGCTGGAGAAGGTCAGGGGCACAGAAGCCACAAATAAGGTACCGGGTGAAGCGCCAGAGCAGCCATGGCTGTGCGTGGGTAAAATGTACGCCTAGCAAGGCAAGCCGGAGAGAGAGCAGGGCTCACCCGCCTCCAGCCAGCACTTTGGCCCCCTGTGCACGGAGCCCGGCATGCGCGGTGCTGCCCTGCAGCCGTCCCCATTGCTCGGGTCCACATTGCAAGGATTGCCTGTCAGCTGGCAGTTTCACGCCGGGCACATGCTGCAGAAATGCGGGGCTGCAGCTAGCGAAGGCCCGCCTGCCCGCCCGCCCGCCCCCGCTGCAGCGCTGCATGCTTCTTTGGCCTGGCGGCTGGGGCACGTGCCTCAAGGGGCAGGCCACCTGCTTCTGGCGTGCGTCCCTCCAGCACAGTTTCCTGCACACACACACACACACACACACAGCATACATTTCCCTGCCCCTAAATGCGCAGCAGGGAAGTCTTTGACCCACTTCCACAGCAGTCAGAACTCTTTTCTGCACTCAGCTGAGTGCTGATCAGGGGTTTCTCCTGCTTGGGTGGAGGGCAGGGCCGGGGGAAGGAGCTCGTGAGCCAGACGGGGCCTGTCCGGGGTCCCATCCAGGGTCCGCTCGAGCCAGAGGTCCCCACCTCTGCCTTAAAGGAGGAGTGCCACGCCTGGGAGCAGGTGCCAGTGCCAGTCCCAGCACACCTGGGCTCCTGGGCTCGCCCTTGGCCTCTCCAGCGGCTAAATCCTTCTCCCCAGCAGCCAGTCCTTAAGGGCCGGGGTGTGCCAGCCAGCCAGCCTCTCTGCTCCTCCTAGCTTTGCCACTCTGTTTGTGGCGTTCTGTTCACTGAGTCTCGTCAAGCATTCTTAGCAACGGAGATGCACAAATTAAAAAGAAATTTGAATCAGTTCGAGGGGCACATGATTTGGCATTGAAATTCATCTGAAGGGTAAGCTGTCTCTGCGTCACCAGGGACTACACATCTGCTTTGAAAAGAAAAGCTGAAATGAATCCCAGGTCTTCCCAAGTTCTGCTGACAGGTGGGGCAGTCAGTTGCTCGCTGATGCAGTAAGCATGCGGTGCTTTAAATACGGGGCTTCAAGTAAAGGGATAGAGCAGCTGTGGAGCAGTTCCGTGGCAAGCGAAATGTGCATCTGCAGTGACGGGAAATTGAACGCGTGCCATGCGTTGCTCAGTTCCCCGCGCGTGTCTTTCTGGCCCTCAGCAGCTGCAAGAGAAACTGAGTGAGATGGAGTCTGAGCTGAGGTCTGCCCGGCACACATCCCAGAAGCAGGATCTCAAACTCCAGAACTTGAACGAGAGCCTGAAGAGCAAAGAGAAGGAGGTGCGTGTCCCGGCTGTGTCCTTCCGCAATAAATGCCGGTGCAGAGCGGGTGACGGCCAAGCACCTTCGCGCTTTCGCCTGCAGCCGGTGAGCGCTTCCCTGCAGGGGACGCCGCTTCCACGTGATGGTGGTCCTAAAGAAGCGCCGGTTTTCAGGATAGCCTCTGAGGCGAGGGATCCGCAGCTGGGCGCGAGGAGCTGCCTGCGTGCCCTGCTGCTGGCCCACCTGCTGATTTATCACTGCCCAACTCTGTATCCCGCAGTCTGAGGAGCTGAACCGCGTCATTGAAGGACAAAACGAGACAATAGCAAACCTGCAAGACAAGCTGCATAAAAGCCAGCTCAGGCAAGTGCAGGTACGGATTTTTCTTGCTTTACCCTACGAGTTCAGAGTATGTTGTTCAGATGGTTCAAGTATTATAAGAAAAGTAGCTCTAGAAATATCATCTGTAGCCACACAAAAGAAAATCCACAGTCAACCCCAGAATGATCCCAGGCTGTGTGCGTCAGCTCAGATAAGATGCTGTTGCAGCACAGAGATGCCCAAAGTTTGCTTTTTCTGAGGAAGAGAGTTCTGGAAGTAGGGCATCTTGAGAGCTTCACCGCTTCTTTGCCAGGGGTATATAGTTCGGGGCAGACAAAGTAATCGCGTGATCAGTGGTTCAGTTTCTAGAGCTTCCAGTAGAAGATGGGGAGAGACAGACAGACAGACTTCTGTCTGTGTGGGCTTTCTAAGGGGTCCACCCAGCAGTTCGAACTAAGCAGGGAAGGTAACGGGAAAATGGGGTGGGCAGTAGAGCGGCCTTGGTGGCCGCACAGGCCTTCCCAGAGCCTGCATTCAGAGGTCACGTCCCTCCTCAGGCCTGCAGCTCGCCAGACCCCCAGCCTGGCCACCGCCCCGCAGCCCAGACCTCCTCCAGCGAGCGACTGGCACTGCTGCCAGAAAGTGTGGGGGTCCCAGGTGGGCAGGGAGCAGGGGGGCCGTCAGCTGGGCGCCCCTCTCTGGGCTTGCCCGGCAGGCCGCTCTGAAGCCCATCACAATGGCAGGCGGCGACTCTCAGGGCGCGTCGTGCCCTCCGGCCACGGCAGGGCCAGCCTTCCTCTGGGCAGCGCCTCGCCGTTCGGACACATCCCCGCCCCCCCTTCCTGTGTCCCCCCAGGGCGCGGAGGGCTCTGCCCCGCTGCACCAGGGGGAGCTCCTGGAGGCGCAGCACGCGCTTTTCTGCGCCCAGCTGGAGGCGCAGCAGCTGAAGAGGCTGCGGCAGCAGAAGGAGCGGCAGCTGGCCGAGTCCACGAGGGGCGCCCAGTTTCTGGAGGCCGTCCTGCAGGAGGAGCAGCGGCAGAAGGAGGCGGCATGGCACCACAACAAGGTCTGGCGGGGATTGCCCGGGGCGCGTCTGTCTGCACCGCGAGGGCCGGGCGTGCGCCCTGCGCCAGGGCGGCCCTGCCCGCACCACTAGCCCGGAGAGCAGGTCGTGTGGCCGGCCTGCAGCCACCCGGTGGCAGTGGCCGGAGCGGTGGTTCTGGGCTGTGTCGCCCGGCCGGCCTGGCCCTTCCACCCGTCCGGAGCACCTCGGGGTGCAGCTCACGCAGGTGGCCCGTTGCCTTGCAGGAGCTGCGGGCCGCTCTCCAGCAGCTGAAGGCCGAGCTGCAGAGCAAGGACTGGCAGTCCCGTGCCCTGGAGAGGGAGAAGTGGGCCGAGGCGCAGAGGCACGAGCGGGTGCTGAGGCACTGGAGCCAGCGCCTGGCGCGCACGGAGCAGCTGCTGCGGGTGAGCGGGGTGTGCGCCCCCCTCCCAGGGACCGCAGGGCGTGCCTCTGGGGACTGAGGGGGAGCGAGTGGGGAACGGAAGGTCGTGCCTCGTCCTGCGCGGCGGGAGGCAGGGTTCGGGGAGAACGCTTGTGGATGCACGCGGGGTGGGGAGCGTGTTGTGCGTGTGAGAGGAGGCCTGTGCCTGCTTGTGCCCCTGGGCGCACACACAAGTAGAGTGTGCGCACGCTGAAGGGCCCGTGCACACTTCTGGGGGTGTGTCTCCTGCACACGTGGGGAGGGAGTGTGTGTGAGGTCGGGGAAACCGGCATCCCGGCAATGCCTTCGGGGGCACCTTCTAACCAGCCGAAGCCCCCAAGCCTCGGCAGCGCTCCAGGACGCTGGGCCTGGCCCCGGGACCCTGGGAGCACCCCCCACGCGGCTCCTTGGGCAGGCCCCCTGCCCCTCTGCCAGCGGGCCTCGCCCAGAGCACCTGCGCAGCAGCAGGACAGCGCTGCTGTGGGGCGGCCCCGCTCCGGCAAGGAAGCTGCAGCCTGGCACTGGCGGGGCTGAGCAGGGCTGGTGCCAGGACCTGCTGGAGGCACCCATTTGCAGGGCGGCCGCGGGCCAGGCGAGCGGGCAGCCTGCACCGGCAGGAGCAGAGTCCATGGCTGCGCCCTGTGGCGACCGCACCTCGCTTTGCTGGGCCGGAGACCCATTTTATTGCCCCCACTCCTCCAGGGCGGCTGTGCTCGCCCCCCTGCGAGCCCTTGCATCCCCCACGGTTTCTGTGTGCCGCATCTGAATAGGCTCAGGAACGTTTGTGCTATGTTGCCGCTGGCCCTGATCTGTTTCTGCGGTTTCCTAGGAATCGAACGAGCTCCTGCAGCAGCATCAGAGCGCGGAGGAGAGGCCAGCCTTGGCGGCCAAGATGGTGCAGACGCTGCAGCAGCGCGTCAGTGACAGAGATGCGGCCCTCGAGGTACTTGCAGGCCGCCCAGCACCACCGCGGGTCCTGAGTGCCCCTTTCCCTGCCCTGGCATCTCTGCGGGGGGGGGGACGCGAGGCGGGGGCTGGCCCTGAGCCGGTGTGACCCGCCTTTGCTCCCCGGCCTTCTCTCACAGCGCGCGGTCGACGAAAAGTTCCGCCTGCTGGAGGACCGCGAGCAGGAGCTGCAGCAGCTGCACCGGGCCGTGCAGGAGCGCGAGCGCGACCTGGAGGGGCTGCGCGCAGTCCTCGCCTCCAACCAGGCCACTATCCAGGTGGGTGCTGCTGCTGCGGAGCCTCCCATCCCCTGCTGCTGCCGCCGACTGCCCGCTCCCGGGAATGCCGCAGCAGGAGCACAGAGCCGTGCTGGGACTCCGCGAATCTTGCCCAGAGCTCGGCTCCATGCCATTCGGGACGTGGCTGGCGGCGGCTTCCAAGGGTCTCGGCAGAGGGGTCCTGCTGCTGCCGTTGGACTTGAGCCTTCGGCCCCGGGGCGGGCGGGGTGCTGCAGGGGGCACCCCAGGGCTGCAGGGGAGGCTCCCCGGGGCCATGGGAAATCCGTGCGGAGGCCGGACCGCTCTCACAGGGCCCGATCTTGCCCCCTCTCGTCCCGCAGGGCCTGGAGGACCTGCTGAAAGCTCGGGGCCTGGAGCTACAGCAGCTGCAGGCGACCTGCCAGAACTGGAAGTGGCTGAGGGAGGAGCTGGAGGCGCACGCCCGCCGGGGGCAGGCGCGGCAGGAGCACCTGGCCCAGCAGCTGTGGGCGGCCCTGTGCGACGGGCACCAGGAGGCGACGGTGAGGCGCGCGGCTGTTTCCCTGCCCAGGGCTGGCGGACAGCGGCCAGGGCACAGAAGCTGTTGCCCTCCTCCGGAGCCGGAGCCCATGCCCGCATCCACGTCTGCTGGGACGACGGTCCTCCTGGTGCCTGGAGCCCAGGAAGCGGCCTTTCCGAAGGGGGCAGAGGCACAGCCTGTGCTCCGCTGGCAGCCGCGGGGTGGGCTGCTGCTTCCGCACTTTGGGGGGCCGGTGGCGAAGCGGCAGGATCTCTGAGCCGGGCCGCCCGCTCCGCTCGTCCCCAGGGGCTCTCGGCGATGCTGCTGCCCAGGCCGGGGCCCGGCCAGGAGGCCGCCGTGGAGGAGCTGTGCCTGCGCCTGCAGCAGAGGGAGCGCGTCGTCCGGGAGCTCCTGGCCAACAAGAGCTGGCAGGCCACCGAGCACACCACCGAGCTGCAGGAGCTGCTCCAGGCCGCCAGCGCCCGCGAGCAGCAGAGCAACGTGAGTGGGCCGGGGCCCTCTTTGCCTGCTGACCCGGGGCCGGGGCCTCGCTCGGAGTCCCCGGGGGGTGCGGGGTCCCGCTGGGATGGCGCAGGGCGGTGCCGCAGGGGGCCGCTCGCGTCTCTTGTGGCTCCGTCTTCGCATCGAAAGCAGAGAGGGGAGCGCCCAAGGTGTGCGATCCGTCTCGGAGCAGATCTGGGCGAGCAGGCCGAAGCCTGGTTGCGTCTTGATGGCGGCAGTGCCGCCCGGGTTTTGGGGCCACTGGGGGTCAGGTGCTCATTTCCTCACAGGATCGCCTTTGCCTCCATCGCCTGCTTCCCGGAGGGCGGGGGGGGGGGGCGACAGTGACCTGAGGTGCCCCAGCGCGGTCTGGAGCCGTGCGCGCGCTGCGACCTCTCTAGGCCTGCCGCTGATGGTCGCTTCCCGCCTTCCCTGCTCTGCTTGTTAGATATTCTCTGCAAAGCTGACCCAGGCTCTGATCGAGAGGACCTGCGAGCTGCAGGTCCTGCGCCAGCAGCTGGTGGACCAGGCTTCTCGGCAGAAAACGGAGGCGCCCGCTGCTCGACCCGGGCAAAAGCATGAGGCTGTGGAAGTGAGGGCGTGTGGTTGTGAGAGCTCTCTGCATGGGGGGCAAGGGGGCAAAGAGCCGACTGCAGCTGTGCGAACGATCCACTGGGGCTGTCCCGGAGGGAGAGGCTTGGCTGGGGAGAACGGGGCTGAGCGAGTGCCGGCCCGGAGGCCCCGCGTCCCAAGCACGCTCCTGCCGCTTGGCCCCTGCGCTCGGCCTCTGCCTGGGTGGAAAGGAGGGAGGGGAGGCAGGAGGGCTTGAAATGGGTGCGCCTGTGTCCGTAGGCACCGAAGCAGGGGCGCCCCGCCGAGCACGTGGCCGCCAGAGTCCCCGCGCAGGGAGCGCGCCGGTCCGCAGCGGAGGAAGGTGGGTCTGCGCGGGCTCAGCCCAGAAGGGCTCCCACGGTGCGCTCCTGCGGTGCTGCGCTGGGCACCGCTCGCCTGGGCCAGCAGCCTGGCAGCCGCGGTCGGTGAGCGGCCCGGGCGCGTGGCCCCGGCCCGGGCTGCATCCCACCGGGCGGCTTGTGGGGGGGGCGGCAGCCTTGGCAGCCGTGTCCCCCAGGCCCGGCGCACCGGTGCCTTTGGCCGAGGGGAGTGCTGGCAGGCTGCTTGGTGGGAGCGCCGAATGACGCGGCTGTGCTCCTCTGGGCCCCCGGCAGGGACGGCCACCCCTGGGCACCTGAGCGGCACTTCAGGGCGACTTTCGCTGGCTCTGCGCCCCTGGCGGCGGTCATGGCCCCTGTGCCAGGGCTGCTCTTTCCTTTCTCGAGAACACTTCCGACGTGAAATGCCCGAGTGCCCCTGCCAAGACCCCCCTTCCGTTCTGCAAGAAACTCCGTCTGGGAAAGGAGCCCTGCTCTTTCTTTCCCTCCAGGTGTCTTGGGGAAAACGGCGGAGCTGGAGAAGGAACTGCTCAGCTCCAGAGAGGAGCTCAGACTGTTGGCACAAAAGGAAAGAGAAAGCAGAGTGAGTCCGTGGGGTCTAGCGGGAGAACGGCGCCATCGGCTCGCTCTGGCCTGTGTGCTGGTCGGCGGAGGCACGGCCATGATTCTGGGCTCCTCCTCCTCCTCCTCCTCCTCCTCATGAGGAAGGGCGGGCACTGTGTGCCAGGCTGGAGATCTGGTGAAGGACCGATTTCCTCCATCTTGCTGCTGCTGCTGCTGCTCAGCCGGTTTCTCTCTTGCAGCCCCCGGACGGCATTCAGTCTTGCCTTTTCCTGTACTTGCAGGGAGTCGTTTTATTTCTTAGGTCAGCTTTAGTGTCTCTTGAGCAGGGGTGATCTCTGCTTGTGACGGAGCCGGTGTGGTGTCGTGGTCAAGACCGTGGCACTGGGACTCCCTGTTCCGCCATGGCGCCAGCTGCGTGCCTTGGGGCCAGTCACAGCCTCTTGGCCCGGCCTACCCTGCAGGGCTGTTGTGGGGATGAGACGGAGCAGGAGGAGGAGAGTGGTGTCAGCCACTTTGTGTTCTTTGAAAAAGAAAAATGGTGGGATAGGGGTCCAGTAAGCCCGAGATCGCAGCGGGTCTGTGGGTGTGCTGCTGCCCCCCAGCCAGCGTTCCTCCCCGGGGCACCCCCAGCCCCACGGTTGAGCCCCACCCGGAGCCCGCTGCTGGGGCCAGGTAGAGCCTCTGCCGTCCCGGGCAGGGGAAGGATTGCTGGGCCCTCCCGGAAGGCCCCGCAGGAGGAGGGGCTGCCCCACCAGCCCGAGACGCTTGCTGGGCGCCCCGTGCAGCCGCCCCGCTGAGCCGCTCTTTTCCGGCAGCTGGAGCTCTCTGCGCTTCGCTCGGAGGTGGCCGCCCAGGAGCAGGAGCTGCAGGTCCAGGCTTCCGATATCGCGTCGCTCAGCAGGAGCATCCAGATCAAGGAAGGCCTTATAAAGGTAGGGCTGCCAGCCGGAGCGCCCGACCTCCAGCTGCATCCTCCCGCGGGCACTAATGCGGGCAGGTTGCGTCCGGCGTGTCCACCGACCTACCCCCTTTTGCACTGATCGCAAGGAAGACGTCCCCTTGGAACCAAGGGACGGGCGGCAGCTCTCCTTGGTGCCCGCCCAGCTGGCTCGATCCTGGGCCTCGTGGCGCTGGGCTTCCAGGGAGGGACACGGCTCGGGGCGTCCCTGCTGGGTGGGGGCACTCGCTCTCCGCTGCCCGAAGGGCCAGGCAGCAGGAGCCGTGCTTGCTCCCCGCCGGGGCTCATGCGCCTTGCCCGCAGGACCTGCAGATGCAGCTGGTGGACCCGGAGGAGGTGCCGGCGGTCGAGCGCCTCACCCAGGAGGTTCTGAGGCTGCAGGAGGAGGTGGCCGGAGCAGAGCTGCGGGGACAGGGAGGCACGGGCAGCAGGCGGCGGCAGGTGCGCCTGCAGAAGGGCCCCACGCGGGGCGGCTCGGGCGGCTCCCGGGAGGCCGTGGCTGGGCGGGCGGGCGGGCGGGCGGGTGGCGGCTTCGGTCCCGCCGTCCAGGGCAGTCGCGGTGACTGTGGGGCTGCCCCCCAGGCGTTTGCCTCGGGCAGGCATCCTGCTGCGGTCCCAGCGCTCCCACGGGGGGAGGGGGCGGGGGCGGGGGCCGCCTGTGCTCATGGCCGACCTGCCTGCCCGGCGGAGGTGCGGTGGGAGGCCTGGTCGGGGCCTCCTCCGGCTCCCCCGTGACAGGGCTCTCCCCACAGCTGCTGCTCAGCTTGGAGGGCCTGGCGGCGGAGCGGGAGCGGCTCAACGAGGCGCTGGAGGCAGAGCGGCAGCTGTACAGGCGCCTGGGGACGCGCGGCGCTCCGCCCGGCAGGTGAGGATCGCGGCAGGGAGGGCCAGTGTGCCACGTAGCCGGGGAGCTCAGGGCCGCATCCTGCCCCTTCCCTTGCTGAAGTTTCCTCACGGCTGCTCTGCGCGGCGCCCTTCCCGTTGGCCGCTCATTAAACCCTCTGTAGAAATTCGGGTCACCCGGCAGGAGGCACGGACGGCAGGCTGCTGTGGGTCGTGCACACACCTGCGCCTTCCCTGAGCGGCCTTCGCCGGGCCCCCTGGAAGCGGCTGGCTGGGCAGGGGAGCCCCCACAGCAGCAGCGTGTGGCTCTGTGGGGCTGGCCGTCACCCTGTCAGGCAGCCATGTTCGGGGCCCCTTGTGAGGGCAGGGCCTGCGCAGGAAGGTAACTGGGGAGACGGGCCAGCAGGGTGGGGGGGGCAGCAAGCGCCCGCACGTGGGGCCAAGAACGGCTCCCCTGAACCCGCGTGAATCCGGAGGAGGGGCAGTGCTGGGAGAAGCCTGGGTGGGTTATTGGCGCCACGGTGGGCAGCACGAGGCAGCGGATCGGGGCGAGCGGCTTTCTGGCCCCCGCCGACCTGCCCTCCTCTCCCTCGGCTCGTCCAGCTCTCCGCAAGACCAGACGCTGCACCTCGAACTGGAGGCCGTCCAGGGGCTCCGTGGGCAGCTGGAAGAGGCCCTTGCCAGGACTGCGGAGCACCTGAGCAGGCTGGAGTCGCTGGAGGGCGCTGGAGGTGGGGAACCGGAGTGTGTGCCCGTCCTTTCCACGCATGCCTTCTGAGCGCACCTTCATGCTGCCTCCGGCGCAGGACGCGAGGCGCCTGCCAGCCCAGCGAGCCGCGACGTGGGAGGGCCCCTGAGCGCCGGCCCAGCTGCACCCTCGCCTGCCAGTGCGACGGGGCTGGGAGGAGGCGCGGGAGGCCGAGCCTCTTCCACCAGCCCCGCCTCCCTCCCCCTGCCCGCCATGTCTGGCAAAATAAAGATGCTCCCCCGCCCACCTCCCCAGGGTCTGTGCCGTGAGTGCTGTGCCCTCCCGGGGGCTCGTCCCGGCCTCCAGCAAGGGGGCTGCGTGGGGCCCACGGCACACGTCTGCCCGGGGGCCTCGGACACTGGGGGGCTGGGCAAAGGGGCTGCCCGGCAGGGAGGAAGTCTGGACTCGCTTCTGGAGGAGAGCCCGCTGCATGCCCAGGGCCCCTGCTTGTGGGAACAGCCTTAGCCAGGCCCGCTGCGCTGAGCCCCGGGGCCCCGGAACCGGCATGCCGCTGAACCGGAGGCCCGCCCTGCATGTGGACAGAGCACGGTGAGCCCCCGCAGACGGCGCTTCCCTCGCTTGGCCTGCCGGGCCTCTGGGCGCTTGCTCTCGCGGTTTGTCAGCACAGGCTCTGAACGCGTGGCGCTTGCTGCTGGGGCCTTGGCTTGAAGTCACTCTGTCGGGCCTGCCGGCCGCCCCACGCAGCGCCCCGGCGGGCTCTTGCTGCCCTGTGCAGGGGGTGGCAGGAGCTCCTGCAGGGCTGGAGCTGGGGGCCATGCCAGCGGGCAGGGGCTTCGCAGCTGCCTCCCGGGCGAAGCCACGCTCTGCCAGGGTGGCAGCGGCTGCTAGGCAGGACTGGCCTGCCCCTGGCACCGTGAGGCGGCCCCGCTGGACCTGTTTTGGGCGTCACGGAGGAGGAGGACCGGTAGCCGGTCTGGGGTTCTCGGCTCCCAGCTGCAATCCTGAGAGCGAGGTTCCCGGGATTCAGTGCCACTTCCTTCTGAGTTGATGCGTGCAGGGTTGGCTAGCAAAGATGCCGCTGCTCCAAGTGGCTCAGGCCAGCCTGCACCCGGATTGCTGAAGCGGCTGGGAGATGCTCTCGGAACCAGCGCACAGGTTCGCGTGACTTCTTCCGAAATAGGCTTCGTCTCAAGCCTGTGCTGTTCAAAGTCCATCATTGCAGTTTACAAAGCAAAAACCAGGAAGGAGATCGAGCTCCCTCTCGGAAATCCTGCTCCCTCATATTAGACTGCGCAACTAATTCTGCCACGTAACAAAAGGGATAATTTTATCTGCTACGTTTCCTGATGACCAGTTGTCCTTCCTTTAGTATCCATTTCTATCAACCCCTCGAATTGGGAGGGGTTTCCTGTGCTGTCCTGCCCAAACTAACTCAGCTGCAGTTAATACAGTTGACAAAAGCAACCCAGTTGTTGTTCTTAAATAATACCAATAAAAGATTGAAGTAATCGGAGCACCCACTGTTCGTAATCTATTTAGCATCTAATGCCAATAGGTTTGTGCCACCTGGCAGGCCGGCTCGTAAGGCCGGGTTCTGTGCCGGGAGACCTGTGTGCCCCGTGTGGATTGGAAACGGGCTCTTGCACCTTGCTGGTGTTGAGGTGCCCCCCCCCCCCCGGCTGCTCAGTTTGTTTTCCAGCTTTGCAAAGAGCAGCCAACTGGCATGTACTTGGTGTGTCTTAAACTACTGTGATCTCTGACCTTAAACCCTGTGAGTGTGAGTGTGTCACTGCAGTAATTACGCTGGATCCGGTGCGTATTCAGAGGTAATCCGGTGAGTGGACTGTTCTGGGGGAGAGGCTTGTGCGCTCGCCCTGCTGCCCACAAAGGGAGGCCGTGCCCGGCCGGACGGACGGACGCTGGGTTGGCGCAGCTCCTCCTCAGCCACAGAAGGGCCGTGCCTGCCGCCGTGCCTGTCGCCAGGAGTGTGGGCCAGGCGTGCGGCTTCGCAGTGCTCCAAGCCAAGCGACAGAAGTGGTAGGCAGAAGCCTGCTAGGAGGACGTGAGGGCGAGCTCTGGCCATCGAGTCTTCCATAGCCAAAACGCACAGCAGCATCTGTGCACAAGTGCCCCCCTGGGGGCCTAGAAGGACAGAAGGGGGGATCGGAGCCTAGCCGAGGGGGCCCCTAAAAGCAGCGCAACCTGCAGTGAGGATTAAGCAGATAGGAACACGGTAGAACCGTGTGTCCTGCAAGAGGGCACAGAAGCAGCCCCCCACCGGAGCGCCCGCTGCCATGTCTCCGGGCGAGTCCTCTTGCAGGGTGAAGGAAAAGGACGGCCACTTGAACTGGGGGCCAAAAGGCACTGAGCTGGTAGCCCGTCAGGCAGAAGCACCTGGGCAGGTAGTAAGAGGGGCATGCTGATGCACGCCTGCAACTCGACTTTGGCACGTGGCCAAATGGAGGCTATCCATTAGGGCAGTTTTCGGGTCACTGACCACTCCTGCTGAGACAGCCATCTTGCATTCTGAATATGGCCACCACTTTGGGTCTAGGATAAGCACAGAGTAAGCTAGATCCCAGGGCATTCAAGCAGGTTCTTCTAGCCTTCAAGGGCAGACCCAGAGCAGGACTCTCCTGAGAAATAGTGCAGCAGTCCAGCTAGATGCAGGGCTGCAGAGGGTTATCACAAAATGCTTGGGAGTCCGGTTGGCAACCTGAGGCAGTCCCATGTCCGTGTCCTACGTCCTGTGTGTGACCTCCAGGATCCAGAAGCGGCTGCTGCTGTGAGCTGGCTGGAATACCATCGGTATACCTGGTTTTGCTGTTGCCAAACGTGTTGCAGCTGACCTTGGAACAGGCAGTGGTAATTTTGGAAGACCCCAAGGAGCCCAATTTCTGAGCTGGCCACCTTGCCCATGTGATGCCTTCCAGCTAATAGGAGCTAATTACCCACGTAATTCCGGCCAGCCCCATCACAAGCCGCCAGGCAACTGTGCAAGACGGCCTACCTGCTGGAGAAGCCCAGGTAGCAAAGCCTGGAGCTGCAGGTCGCCCTTTGTGAGTGGTGCTCGTCGTGTAGCGTACAGAAAGGGACACGACCCAGAAGGGTGCTGAGCAAGTGTGAGCTGAAGGCAGGGTGAAATGCCCAGCAAGCTCTGCTGAAGGGTCTCTCCAGGGTAGGCGGCCCAAGAGCTCAGGTTGTGGAGCGCCCTGGTTCCAGGCAGCTTGTGCAGAGTCGATTCACTTGAAAGCAAACTTTCAACCCCCACACACCCTCGTCCAGGAAGAAGGGAATGTGCCAGTAGCCAACAGAAACTCTTAGTAATCGCTGTCTAAAAAAAGAACCATGCTAGCATTTTGTTCCTCAGCTTGTGTTTTCCGAAGGCACCCAAAACCCCAGCAGGTTTTGAGAACAGATGGGCAAAGAGGTCTCTTTCCCCATCATCCCATTTTTTATAAACCCATTCCATCCCGCTTCCACATTAGTGTGCAATTTTGAAAACTGGCATAAATGCTTGCCTTTAAATGCTATCTAAGTATGTTTGGTGTATTTTTTTAATGTATTTTATCTCAAAATACCCAGAGGGACATTTTTCAGCTAAGAATGGCTTCAGAGATTTCCTGAGGTTTGAAATAATTTGGTGACTCTGTTCCAATCTGCATGTTAGTTCAGGGGGCACAAACTGAGTGCCCCCAGTGTCCATCCGTCTGCCCGTCCGTGTGAGTTTCTGAAGTGATCTGAGCAGTTAGGATGCCCATGGCATTGCGGGGGGAATGAGTCACTCCCCCGCCAGGCAGCTCCTGGGCCAGCAGGCCCCCCAGCCAAGGCAGGGCCACGGGCCCACTGGCCCCTCCTGCTTCGCTCTCTCACCACCCAGGCTCCGGCTGCCTTTCCTCGAGCTCCTCAGGTGGGCGACGTGGGCCTTTCCTCCTCGCTCCAGCACCTGCCTCCTGCTTTCCTTCTGGCTTTCTCGCGGATGCCCAGCCTCTCTCGCTCGCTTCCCCCGCCTTTCCCTGCTCTTAGTTGGGGGGCCACCGACTTGGCTTGCAGCACTCGGCTGGCTCTGTCCCGTTCCTACTCTCGCCGGTGGATCGACAGATTGCAGGCACAGCCCCCGCCTTTTGAGAGGGGGCATCCCACTGCCAGGACCCCCACGCCAGTCCCGCTGGCCCAAGAGCGCCGGCAGTGGGGGGCCTCTGTCCAGGCACCCACTCGACCGAGCCCCAAACCCCTGATAGCACGGAGAGGAGTGGGTCATGCAGGCGGTCTTGCACGCCCCCCGTAAGGGAACAGGGACGGAGGGCAGTGCCAGGCGGCTGCTGCCTCCGCCTGCTTAGAGCTGCTTCTCTTGCCTTCTTCGTGATTCAGCTTATCCGGCTGACCCTTTCTTGGTTCCCTGTTTCTCTTCCCTTTCACTGGTGATTATCATGTAGTTCTCTCTCGTTTGTTTTCTCCCTCCCCAACAGGCTTGTGCCGGCTGTCGGCTCTGCTGCCTGATCGTTTCTGTTCTTCTTTCACTTCGTCTTCTCTTCTTTCCGCTCGGTCTGCGGACTCCGTCACATTTCTATCTCTTGTCTCTTACGGCTTCATTCCGGAGTGGCCTGCTCTCGCACCCCTTTGTTCCACCCATCTTCTTCTTCGCCCCCTCGTGCTTATTCTGTCTTTTCCACGCCGCTTGCCCCTCGCTGCCTGATGCTCCGCTTCACATCCCTCCCTCGCGCCCGCTGCTCTCTTGCACACATCAGCACCGCGGCTGGCTCCCTCGCCCGGCTCCCTCGCCCTTCCTCTTCTCGCTGCTCCCCCAGCCCTTTCTCTGGGTTGCCGTTCTTCGCCTGTCCACTTTCTGTGGAGCACTCCATGGCGCTGCCCTTCGCCCGCTGCAGGCTCGCAGGCGGCGGTTAGCGCTAACTGCTATTTTTACCTTCGCCCTCTGCAGCTCTGCAGAGCTGAAGTGTGACCTCCAAACTGCTGGTGTCGCCCGAGTCGTCCTCCTGTCAACAGGCAAAGCGCTGCTGAACGGTTTTGTGGCTCCCTCCTGCATTTTTAACGCCCCTGTTTGCCTGTTCAGCCTATTTTGCTGCTTCCCAGTGAGCAGGACGGAGGTTCGGCGACCAGCACCCCTTTGAATACCCCTGAAAGACCTCTCCGAATTGCACCCACTTCAGTTCCTCAGGGTAGATTTAGGAACATGGAAACAGAGTGAGTCAGAAGGGGCCTCCTGGGCCATCTAGCCTGACCCCAGGCTCCAGACGGCTCTGCTCACAACATGCCCACCACGTGCATGTCCAGCCTGTCCTTGAACACCCTCACCGATGGGGCCTCAGTTTCTTTCATTGCTTCTTTTCGTTTTTTAAATAGAGAAATAACAGCTTGGTAACTGATGACATCTACATCCTTCTACCCCCAAGCAATTACTGTAAATAATTTTATCTTAAGTCGTTTCTTCCCTGGGTCAGCTTCGAACAGCCTTGAACGTATGTTACCATGCGCCTGAGGGAGCTGCGGAGAGGCCCCCAGTCCCTAGTCTTGTGACGAGCCTCAGCATCCCACGGCCCACCAGCGAGAACAGAAGAGAGGAGGGAGAGGAGGGAACAAAAGCCTCGAGCGATGCATCCCCTCCGAGCAACTCCACCAGCCCCCCCCCTTCCCGCTGCTGCTGCACCTTGAGCAGCGCTTCCTTTCCTTCCAGTGGGCGCTGCGGGAGGTACAGCCCCGCTTTCCTGGGCTAGGGGAAGAACCCCTGACGCATAAATTATTGAAAGTTTTGCTGAGGATTTTCCTCTGACAAAAACAAACAGGGCTCATTTTCCCACTCTGAAGGGGCATTTTTGTATTCCAAGAGGAATGTTAACTCTAAGCTGCAGCGGTGCAAGGACTGAAATGTTGATGCTGGCTCAGATTCAGAGCTCGCCACGGGCGGGGAGCTGAGAGACGCTGGTTGCTGTTGACGGAGCAGTGCGTCCTCTCCCGCTGGCTGATGTGGCCGAGCGCGCCTCTCCACAGCGGCAATCAGCTTCCACGCAGAGCATGGAACGCACTTCGGAAGCCCTGTTCTCTCCGGGTTTCCAATAAGCACCGTTCCCTGTCGGGGAGAACGGCAAGCCATGGATTTCTGCCGTGGCATTTGCTGTAGGCAGCACTTGGGTTCTCCTAATCGAAGGAGAGCCTCTGAGACGGATGCCCTGCCCGCCAGCTTGAGGCAGAGTGCTGGGTAGCTGCTTGGCTGGCTTCTACAGACAGACTGGTGAGTGTGGGGATGGGATGTGGAGGCCTCGGAGGCTGCGTGCTGAGAGGGTGGCCCCTGTCTCTTTCACGCGAGTGCGGTGCCTGCTCCAACCTCTCGGGATGATCCAAAACAGGGTTTAGCTCCCGTCACTTCGCTGCCAGCTGGTGTGGCTCATCAGATACATTCATGGAGGGGCATCTTGGGGGCCAGCACCCCACACCCCGCTGCTGGAGCCATTCATTCCCCAGCAGCAGCCCCTGGGTGCTTGTGGGGAGGCCTGGAGGCGAGACCGGGGAGAGGGGTTCCATCTCAAGGAAGTGCATGAATAAGAATGCCCCACCCCGCATGGCTGGGGGACAGCCTGGACCTTCTGAGCGGCTTGCTGGAGGCTGCAGTGGGGAAGGGGATCAGAAACGTCCCGGCTGGTTTTGTAGGAACTGGGCCCTACACTGATTTGCTAGATATGCTTTGGCGCGTGGTTTTGTGGACGTCCTGGGGCCGCTGAACAGGAGCAGTTCCAAGTGCAGAGGTGGAACCGTGGTTGCAGGAAACTTAGGATAGGAAGCTGGAGGGGCGACTAGACTGCATCGTATTTCAGCCACATGCCCCAAGTGTAAGCAGAACACTGGAAAATATTTACATTCCTCCAGTCGGTTCTCAGAAATTCACTCCTGAGGTTTAGCTTGCCGTAGAACACATGATGCAGGAGTAAGATTTGCAACGGCACCTCCCGTTACGGTGGGAGAGTCACCTCACCTCCGGCAACATTTGTGGAGCCCCGGAGGCCCCGGATGAGCTTTGGGAGAAGCGTTTCTTGCTCTCTAGTGCCAAGAGAGCAAAAGCCGCTGGGTCCCGGGGCTGTTATGGGTTTCACATGTTCACAGCACCGGCCTTTACGCCCCTGCCCCTACGTCACCCATGAGGTGAGCGGTGCTGTTGACCCTTTGCCCAGCCGAAGCAAAATGTATGTTCTTTTCATGGTAGAAAAGCAAACACGAGGAAAGCGCACGAACAGCACGGCTGGCTCTGCAGTCGGAGTTCAGACTGATCACCCAGGAAGATGAGGGGCTGGTGGGGAGACTGGAGTCGGGGCCAGAGAGGAGAGGGAGGTGGCAGCAAGTGGGCCCCTCAGCCCCCCCCTTCAATTCGAGTCTGGGAAGAGAGCGGGGAAGCGGAGAGCCTTCCCTTGAGCCAAACACTGAGGCTGCCACCCTCTCCCAGAGCAGGCCCTCGTTCTTAGCTGCGGCTGGACCAAACGATTCCAGGAATGGGAGAGCTCCATGGTCTGAGATGGAGCGCAGAGAGCTCAGGAAGCATTTGCAAAAGCAGATGGGGAGAAGGCATCTGTTACTCTAGAGAGCAGAGACTACAGTCTCCCGCTTCACCTCGGCTGAGACGATACAAACCTGAGCTCAGCTGAGGAAGTTTTTTCTGCTGCTGAAAGGTGGGCAGATCTGGAACTGGAGGCCAGGGATTGTAAAAATCAGCGTCTTTCTGGAGGGTAGGGTCTGGCTGGTGCTGTGGCTCAGGTCACACTTTCAAGTCCTTCGTACAGTCCTTGAGGAGCTGCCAAACTCTGGGACGGGACTCTATGCCAGGAGCTCCTCCAGGTGAACACAGACTGACAGAGGCCTCTTATCCAGCCTGTTTATTCATGCAAATAACACAGGACATACCATGAGGGCTGAAAGCTTCGTATAATTCCATTATCCAAATAAGGATCCCAGAAATTACAGACCTATCTGTTTAATTGGGATACCTGTAAAAATATGTGTTAAGTTTCTCTTGCAGAGATTAGTGTACTGGGCAGAGTGAAATGCGCTGTTACTGGAAGAGCAGGCTGGCTTTAGACAGGGGAGGCCTGGCACTGACTTTTTTTTTTTACTTTGTCCTATTTGATATGCAAATACACTGTGACAAGTGGACAGGTTTGTGCTGCATTTAATCACCCAAGTGCGGCTGTTGATTCAAGAAACAGAAATCACCTTTGGGAAAAATGGTCAAAAGCAAGCACAGACAGGAAATTCTCTTTTTTATGTATCTTTATACAGTGGTACCTTGGCTCACAAACTTAATCCGTTCATGACTCTGGTCGTGACCCAAATTGGTCGTGAGCCAAGTCAAATTTCCCCATAAGGGTCAATGTAAATAAGGTTAATTTATTTACCTTTTTATCTGAACAATATTTTAATTGTTAATTGGTTGTTTTATTTAGTGGTTTTAAATTATGGCCGAGATACTCCAAATTGTTAATGTTATTCTATTCTTTGTTTATGTATTCTCTTTGTAAGCCGCCCCAAGGCTTCTGCGATGGGTGTGGCATAAAAATGTTATAAATAAATACATACATACATTTTCTTAAAATCAGAAAAATGTGAAGCAAAGTGACAAAAAACAACAAAGATCGCGGCCGCCTCCCTGCCCCCCCCCCCAGCATCCCTGCACTCGCCCGTCATCCCAGTGTGCTGGGGGGGGGGGGAGAGACAGGTGCAATAACGGTTGCGCTTGTGGGGGGAGACAGGCGCAACCGTGGGCACGCTCGTGCTGGGGGGGGGGGATGGCTGAGATCGCGGCTGTGCTCCTGCAGGAAAGATGGGCCCAATTGCAGCCATCTCCCCGCCTCCCCACCCCCAGCATGATAGCAGCCATTTCCCACACCCAATGCGGAGTTCGCAACCTGAGTCAAAATTTTTATGAGGCGTTCGTGAGCCGAGGTACCACTGTATATGTCTTTATACAGATATAAGTTTAAATTATGTAAAGCAGAATTTAACATTTTTTTAAACAGAGAAAAGGATTTGGCAAGGTGGTCTCTTTGCAGGCTTTCCATATTCCAGAGGTGAATGTCGCTTTCCGGCCTGATTCCCCGCGGTGCAGGTGGCCCTGTGCGGACGCTCGGAGCGCCTTGCCTTCGCTCCCGAGGAAGGGCTTGCGCTGCCGTGCCTGCCAGGCGCTGCACCCGAAGCCCTGTGGCCGGGCACCGGTGCCAGCCCTGCCCTCGGTCACGCGGCACCCTTCCCTCCGCAGGGCTGGGAGGCCCAGGAAGGCCCCCGGTCCAGCCCCGCAGGACCCCAGGTCACGCTTGCGCTCCGCAGGAGAGCACAGCCTTCCCCAGTCGGGTTCCTTCCAGCCGGTTTGGCCTCAAACTCCCCGAGGCCCTGGCTTGTGTGGCCAGCGGCCCAGAATGCTGGGGGTTGTAGTTCAAGCCATCTGGAGGGCACCCTGTTGGGGAGGGAAAGTGCAGGGTGCGGCCCGGCATCCCCCTGGGGCAGCATCCAGGCCAATGCTCTGCAAAGCGGGCGCAGGCATGGGGGGGGGGGGCGGCAGCAGGGTCACATCGCTGCCGCCACCGCCGCGTGGCGAGCGAGGGCCAAGCCCCTGACCGCCCCTGCGGCGTGGCCCGTTCCAGGTCTGTCCATGGCTGGGGACGAGGACGGGGACGGGGACGGGGATGAGGATGCCGGCACCGAGTTCTCCGACAGCATCGAGGAGGCGGCGGCGCAGCGGGGCGCTCCCCGCCTGCAGGTGAGGAGGGGGCAGGCGCAGGGGGGCAGGCCGGGGGTGTCGCAGGCTGCCGGCAGGGCGGCGGGCACGAGGGACCCCGGGCCAGAGGTGGGCGGGGCGGGCGGGCGCGGGTGCTCCTTGCATCCGGGCCGCCGTGCCATGCCAGGTGCGCCGGCGCTGTGCTGGCCAGCCTGCTGGCGGCCGCGGGGACGGGACGGCCTGCCCACGCGTGCCGGTCGTGCGTTGCAGGGTGCCGAGGCGGCGGACGCGCCCGGCGCGGGCAGGGAGAGCAGCCTGCGCGTGGAGCTGCTCTGCGCGAAGGCGGCGCTCCAGCGGGTCGGGGAGCAGAAGGCGACCCTGGAGGGGGAGCTGCAGGCCATCAAGGGGCAGGTGCAGGAGGCGGGCTTCGCCTCCGTGGCTCAGCTCAGGTAAGCCGGGCGGGCCGGGGCGAGTCCTGCCGGCACCCCGCCCCCCGTCTTCTCCGGGTAGCCCAAGTGTGGAGTCAGGCACCCCTATGGCGAGGGGGCGGTCCACGATTGGTAAGAGTGGCTGCCAGTCCCGGGGGGGCGCAGAGTCGAGGTTCACAAGGCACGGCAAGTCCCTGGCCGTTCGCTGGGGCCTGTGTGTCACGGGCACCCGCCCAGGCATAGTCGCCCGGCCTCTGTGCTTGTGAGCCACCCTTAGGGCCACAGCTTGTGGTGGGCTTCAGTGGCCACCTCGGGCTTGTCAAGCGACCCCCTTCCAGGCGACAGACTCAGGGGTAGGAGCAGCAGCAGCACCCCCGTCACTCCAGCTAGGCAAGTGCTGCTGCAGGCCCCCCGAAGCGCTGGAGCGGCACTCGGGGCGCAGTCCGGAGCTCCTCCGGCACCATGTTGCTCAGGGCACCAGCAGCCGGGCAGGAAGCGGCCAGGGTCTCCACGGAGGTGCGAGGCTGCAGTGCTGCTGGCAGACCCGGCCTCTCCTGCCGCCTCCAGGGCTGCGGCCGCTTGGTGTGGCCGTGAGCGAGCCTCTGCCCCTCGTGCCCCCACTTTCCTCCCCCACAAGCCCTTCCGGGCCCCTTGAGTGCGCGGAGGGCCCCCTCAGCAGCACAGGGCCGAAAGTGCCTCCTTGGCCGGGGCTGATCGGCGGGGGGCCTGGCAGTCGCCCAGCCCTCACCCGGGTGCTGCCCCGTCCCCCAGGAAGGCCCTGCTGAGCCTGTGCCTGGAGAATGCAGAGCTCAAGGAGCAAGTGGGAGAAGCCACGTCGTCAGAGGGCTGGGAGAACGATGAGGAGAAGGACGAGGCGGAGGACCGGAGCCTGGAAGTCCAGAAGCTGCAAGAGAAGCTGCGCGCCTCCGAGGTCGTCATCGGCCTCCTGCAGGGGCAGCTGGCCCTGAGTGGCCCAGGCGGGGACGGCCTCGTCGGCCCGCGGCAGCCACAGGGGGGCCAGCGGTGCCCTGGCCAGGGACATCCCCGCGACAGCGCCCCTCCACCGCGGCAGGCGGGTGGCAGCCCGTCCCACAGCCCGGCGGCAGCCCAGGTAACTCTTGGCTGGCCGGCAGGGCAGCGGCAGCGTCGCTTCGCGAAGGTGCCCTGGGGCCGGGGCGTGACAGGCATGCCCTCCTCTTGCAGGCCGACCCGCTGGGAGGCGGCGGCGGTTGTGCGGGTGGCGCTTGGGAGCGGTGCCAGAAGCTCCGTGGCCAGCTCCCGGGCACAGAGACCCCCAGCCCGGCCCTACGAAGTAAGTACTCGTGGCCAGCCCTGGCCTTGGCTGGGCTGGGCCCACGTGTCCGTGCCCCCGCAGTGCCCCTGAGCATCACCGCCAGTGCCCCGACGGCCCTCCTCTGTATCACGGGACGGTTTCCCATTCCGGAGAGGCCCTGTGACCCTTCTGCCTTGCCAGGGGAGGTGGAGGAGAAAAGGGGCTGCGAGGGCAGAGCCCACGCAGGGCGGCGCTCCCACCTCCTCCATGCCACGTGCCCCTTTCTCCCACACGGGGGAGCGGACCCGTCTGTGCTGCGGGAACGTGCCCGATGACGTGCCGCCTCTGCCCGCCTCTCGCCCGCCTCTGCGGCCAGGCTCCCCTTTGCTGGCTGGCCCTGGAGGCGTGCGGTGCCCGGGAGGGCGGGTCCTTGGGGCGCCGGCTGCCTGTGGCTGGAGGGCCATGGGGCAGGCCCCCACAGCTGCTTTCCTTGTCCAGGGGAGGCCGAGGCGCAGTGGGTCAGCAAGCAGATCCAAGTGGATCTCCAGGACCTGGGCTATGAGACCTGCGGGAGAAGCGAAAACGAGGCGGAACGGGAGGAGGCCACCAGCCCCGGTACGTGGGGTTCCGAGGAAGGGTGTGCTGTGGCCCCGAATCGCGCGCACGCCGGCCTAACACCTGACGGGGGGGGTCTTTTCCCCAGAGTGCGACGCGCGTGAGGTGGAGGCCGGGAATTGGAAGCGGCTGCTGGGCTTCGCTCCGTGTCGCCATGCGGATTGGGACTGCAGCCGGTGCGGCGACGCGGCTCTTCTCCGCCAGCACGTCCAGGCCCTCCAGGCGCAGCTGCGGCACTCGCGCGGCATCATCCAGGCCCTGCGGGGCCACGTGTGCTCTGGACCTGAGGCCCTGCTGCCGCTGAAGCGGGCGGGAGCCCTGGGCAGCTCCCCGTGCCAGAGCGTGACGGACGAGGACGAGGGCTGGCACTCGGACAGCCTGGGCTCCGTCGGAGCCACCGACAAGGACCTGGCGGGGCTCATCCGGAGGGTGTCCCAGCTCGAGGCCCACCTGGCCGAGGCCAAGCCGAAGCTGCTGCGGCCGGAGGCACTGCCCCCTGCAGCATCCCTGGGGTAGGAAGGAAGCGAGGGCCAAATGGCGGGAGGGGGCCGACCTGGGGGCCTGCGCCGTGTGCCAGGTGGTCCGCGTCCTCCTCCAATTGCCCTCCGCAACGGGAGTGTCACGGCGGCCCCCCTTCCCTGGGGGACCTCGCGCAAACCCCAGGCCACAGGCTCGCATCGCGGGCTGCTCTCGCCAGGCCCCCAGGCGCCAAGGGCGCGCAAGCAGCCAATGCGCTGTGTGAGGCCGGCATGGTGGAGCAGCCTGTGAGCCTGAGGCAGTCCCTTCGGCGCCGGGGGGGCTGGATGCGCCCGGCCCTCCCAGGGCCTCTTCGGAGTTCGCCAAGGGCAACGATGATCCCGGGCCAGTGGCCACGCGGTGCCAGGACACCCAGCATCTCCCTCCCTGCTGTCTCCGTGGTGCGTCGCCCGCCAAGTTTTGCTGTCTGCTCCGCAGGAAATACGACTCGCTGGTCCAAGCCCAGGCTCGGGAGCTCTCCCACCTGCGCCAGGTGATGCGGGAGGGCCAGGGGGCCTGCCGCCTGCTGAGCCAGTGCTTCCGGGACGCTGTCAAGTCCTTCGAGGAGCTGCTGCGAGGCAACGACATTGACTGCTTTCTGGGGCAGAGCTTCCGCGAGCAGCTGGCCCAGGGCAGCCGGCTGGCAGGACGCTTGGCCCGGAAGCTGAGCGCGCGTGAGCCCCCCGGGGATGGCCCAAGCGCACGTGAGAGGGTTTATTTCGGTATCTTGGCAAGGGGAGTGGCCGTGAAGCACACCGACTCTTTCCTCTTGCAGGGTTTCCATGTGTAGCTTGCCAGAGGGTTTCAGATTTTCTGCCCCCACCTGCTGCTGCTCCCCAGAAAGTGTTCAGAAAGCAGGAATAAGCTGTTCCAATATCCACGCTGCACCAGTGTGATGGCGGCTGGTTCTGTGCAGCCTCCAGTGGCGCTGCGGCCGGGCAGTTGTGACGGGCTGTCTGAAGCAGGGCTGGGTGGTGCGCAGTGCGGGGACACCCCTGTGGCCGAGCGCGTTGCGTGCTGGTAGCGGAAGCTTTGGCCAGGGGCTTAGCTGGGGATCGTGCTCCCCGGGCGATGCCTTCGGAGACCCTTCTGCGGGTCGACTGGAGCAGAGCTGGCCATGCAGCCAAGCTTTTCCAGAACCAGATGGGGAACAGCCAGCAGCTGCGTGGACAAGGCTAGAGGAAGCCTGTGCCACCAGCCGGGGGGTGTGGGGGCTTGTAAAACTGCCGCCGGGGAAGCAGGCTGCCGCATCCCCACCTCGCCCTCCTTTTCCGATGCTCTTTCGCAGGGAATGAGTCGCCCACGGAGGGCAAAGCGGACCAGGAGGGGCTTGTTCGGAGGTAAGAGTGGCCGATTCTGGAGCAGCCTCCCTATGGCAGGATGGCGGGGGGGGGGCGCCTCTCCCGCTCCCAGAGCACACGTAGCCCCCGTCCGCCCAGGGCCCTGCCTCCAGGGGTGGGGTTCTGTCACACGGTGGGGGGCCCCTTTGAGGGAGCCACTGACCTGCAGGAGCCCAAGGCAAGTGGGGTGCATATGACGTGGCACCCACAGCTGCGCAGAGCAGCCCCCACCCCTGTGCTCTGCCACTTCCCGAGCACTGTCCCTGCAGGCTGAGCCAGGAGCTCCGGGGGAAGGCGCCGAGTGCCCAGCAGCCCCCCGCTGAGGGGGCGCTCTCCACGACGCCCTGCAGCAGTCCCACAGCCTCCGAGTCGCCCCGTGCGGGCAGCAGCGCCTCCTTCGCCTCTGGCGGCCTGGAGAGCTGCTCCGATGTGGACGACGCCAGCGAGCCCCTCTGCCCGGCGGACCCCGGCGACCGATGGCTGCGCCGCTTTCTGGACAGAGGTACGGCCAGGAGGGGCTGCGCCACGAGGGAGCGGCACTGGGGGCTTTTGCCCCGGGAGCCGTGCTTTGGCTGGGCCCCAGGGGAGCCTCCGACCCACATCCTGGAAGCAGCCGGGCCAGGGAGGCCTTGCCCGGAGTCCTGCGCTGAGCAGGGGCCGGACCTGACGGCCTTCGGCCCCTCCAGCCCTGCGGTTCTACTGGGCCGTCCAGGGGGCACCTTGGCGTGGACAGAGTGAGGAAACAGGCGAATAAAGAAAATGTGGTCACGGTCCCCTCCGCCCCCGCCACCTCTCCCGGTTTTGGGAGAGCTTCTCTTCCAGGGTGGGGTATCCACCCCGGCCGCTGCTCCTCCCTGGCTGCCCTTCCCAGCATGCGGCTGTGAAGCGTGTCCACTCCGGGCGGGCACCTGTCTCTTTCTTGCTTTAGCCAAAGGTCTCTGGGCAGAACAGAAACACGAACCCTTAAAATGCAGCAAAAATAGAACACACAGCATAAAAATCTAAAAATGCTGAGAACCAGTTCCAACCAGCGTAAACCGGTGGCCAGAAGCAGTGCAAGCAGTCCTTGTTCTTTCAGACCCTGGGAGTCCTTCTGACGACGCCCCTGCAGCGCTGCCTCTCCCCACTCTTGCTGCCCCATCCCCTGCAGCTGCCCCAGCAGACGCCCCCCGGGGCAGCTGCGCTCAGCCGCCTCCCCAGCACCCCTTGCGGATCACCTGCCCGCCCGCCGGAGGTAAGAACCTGCGGCAGGGAGCAGGCCTGTGAGCTGCAGCTGCTGGTGTGTGTGTGTTTTGGGGGGGGGGGGCGGTTGCAAGAGACTCCGCTGCGGCACCGATCTTTCCTCTTTCCTTTTCCCTCCACACCTTTAATGTGCTTTCCATTTATACGGTTAATTACGTTCACTGCTGGCAGTGCTCTGAGGATTAGTGTGGGAAGTGGGCACATCGTAGGAACTGGGAAAGGCCGAAAATGGCTATCTGGTGGGCTACTCCGCCCCCCGCACACGGGGCAGCGGGTGCTTCAGGGCTTCTCCAGCCTGGAGCCGGAGCTGCGAGAGCAAGGGCAGCTTCACGCGTCCTGCCTCTGCAAGGAGCGCAAAGCCACTGCCACCTCCAGGCAGCGGCAGCCCTCCAGCCGCCTGGAGATGGAGGTGCCAGGCAGGGGCAGGAGCTGCCTTGCGGGGTCCCCTGTGCCTGGTCCCCCGCTGTCCTGCAGTTCTTCCCAGATCCATTTCCTAAACGTTTTGCTTTCACCCAGTGCTAGAAACATAGAAACAGAGCCAGTCAGAAGGGGCCTCCCAGGCCATTTAGCCTGACCCCTGGCTCCAGCTGGCTCCACTCACAACATGCCCACCATGTGCATGTCCAGCCTGTCCTTGAACGCCCTCTCCGACGGGGCCTCAGCCACCTCCCGGGGAAGCCCATTCCACACCCTCGGGGTCCTAACTGTCAGGAGTACTTCCTGCCATCCAAATGGAACCTTGGTTCCCTGAGCTTGGCTCTGTTGGAGTGCGCCCTGTTTTCCTTTGCAGAGGAGAACACGTCTCTACCTACCTCCCTGTGACACCCCCTCACGTAACCTATATGTTGCCAACAGATCCCCTCTGAGTCTCCAGACTGAAAAGACCCAGTTCTCTCAGTCTTGCCTCATACGGCTTTCCCTGCCATCCATCCTTGTGGCCCTACGCTGCACTGACGCTAACCTGGCTATATCCTTCCTGTTATGTGGAACCCAGAACTGAGCACAGTACTCCAGTTGCGGGCTCACCAGAGTCATATAGCGTGTTAGTAATACCTCTCTTGTTCTAGAAGCCACACTTCTGGCTCTGCAACCAAGGGTGGTGTTCGCCCTCTTGGCCACCGCGTCACACGGCTGACTCATGTTCAGCCTGCAGTCAACCAGCATCCCGAGGTCCCTTTCACAAGTGCTGCTCTCCAGCCACTTGTCCCCTAACCTGTACTAATGACACTCATTCCTATGCCCCAAGTGCAAGACCTTGCACTTATCCACATGGAACGCCATCCTGTTGTCTCCTGCCCACTTCCATAGCCTGCTCAGATCCTTTTGGATCTGGAGAACCTGCTCCTCAGTTGTGACCACTGCCCCAGTTTTAGTGTCATCTGCGAATTTGATCAGCAGCCTGTTCACCCCTTCTTCCATGTTGTTAATGAAAAGATTAAACAGGATCGGCCCCAGAGACACAGACACCTTCCTCTGGAAGAAGTCCCTGGGGCACGGGACTTTCTGGAGAAGAGGGAGGCCCTGCACCCTGGCCCTGGCCCTAAATTAGCGTGGGAGTTGCAGGGTTGCCGCTTGGCCTGGGCCCCCACTGCCCGGGGAGGCTGCGCTGGGGCGCATGGCAGACAGGCCTGCCTGGGGGCTCACTGCAGGTGAGAAGGCTTCTGGTCCCACTGTGGGAAAGAAGCGCGGGCCCCGACGGCTGCGCGGGGATGCTGCCTTCATGCCTCCAGGGCAGAAGTGGGGAAGAGGCCGCCCGAGCCCTTCAGGAAGCTGCTGGTCATCCGCGTGGGCCGTTCCATGCTCACAAGCCACAGCCCCTCTTCTCTGCCCAAAGAGGTTGCTGTGATGTCACAGCTCTTTGCGCACGCAACCGCTAGGCGGAGGGCTCCCTGCAGAGGTTCGCTGCACCAGGCCACAGAGGGCAGCTTTGGAGAGAGGCCCGGCTTGTCTGGGAGCTGCCAGTTTACCCAGCCACCTCTGCCTTGCCTTTCCTTGCCTTTCCTTTCCTTTGCCTAGGCTTTCATCCCGGTCTGCCATCCCTACCGGCCGGCTTCTCTCGGGCACCCCTGGACTCGGGGCTCTGCTCCCCCAGGCCTTCGGGGCCTCCCCTTCCAGCCCTGGATCCCCTGCTGGGTGGCTGCAGGACGCCCTTCTTCGCGCTGGCTGAGGCCCAGCAGGAGCTGCAGGTGCTGCAGAAGCAGCTGGGAGAAGGTGAGCGCTTCGGGTGGCTCCCCCGCCGTATGCGGCAGGTGCCTCGGCGTGGCGTGACCAGCGGCCTCTGCGTGGCTGGCCTGTCCCGGCTCGGGGCAGCGGCACTGGCCTCCTCCCAGGGCAGGGGCTCCGCTGCTGGCTTCTCCCTTGGTCATCCAAAGGCAGCCAGCAGCAGCGGGACTCGGGGACGGGCGCAATTCCGCGTGGGCTCAGTGAGAGTTGGGCCCCTTCCACATTCACCTGTCCGGGTTCTGCTGGTCTGCTGTTTGCGGTCCAGATCAAGCAGGTGGATCACGGAGAGTCAGGCGCCCAGAAGCGCAGCTGGGAGCGCCTGGAAGGCTTTGGCTTGGGACGGGGCTCGGTGCCACGCTCTTCCCGGCTGAGCCACGTGCCGCCCTCGTGGCTGCCGCAGGCAATGTGTTTCAGCAAGAGGGCGAACGGCTAGAGGAAGATGCTCAAAGGCGTCAGGGTCTTGCTGCCCTTGCAGGCGCAAAGTACCTGATCGTACTTTGGAGGGGAAGGAATGGCCACACGTGACGGGATGCCGGGGCAGGGGCTCTGGTCACTCTGCCCCCTCGCTTCAGCAGCCCCTTCTGCAGCCCGTGTGCTGGGGGAGCATCTGGGGCCGGCCACCCCTCCCTGCCAGGGAGAGCCAAGCCCTGCAGGCTCGCCAGGAGGGGGTGCCGCACCCCAGGCAAAGGGGGGCTGCTCACTGTCCTGCTAGGCAGGGGAGCTGCCCGTGTGGGCAAACCCGGCACTCCCAATCACGCCCGAAGTTCCACGGCTGCCTTCCCTTCCGGGCCGTGCTGCCCGTCACCGGAATTCCCACTCCTTGTGCAAGGTGACTGGCAGGGGATCCGAGGGTGGGCGGCCGCCCTTTCCTTTCTGCCCCAGGCCGTTTTCCTGACTGAAATGACCCCTTTTCGGGGAGATGAGCTGTTGGAAGGGGGTATTTTAATCAGCGGGAGGGCAGGGGTGAGGCAAGTTTTATTCCCACTCCTTCTGGCTGCTTTTTAAGAACTTGCACAGGGAATTCAGGCCAAGTCCTGCCTCTGAAATTCACGTCTGACTTGACCACCTGGCCATCTTACTTTGCCATCACAAATGTCTGGCTGAAAGAAGGGGCTCACAGTGTCGAGGCGCAGCTTGCTCTCCGCACCACCTCTGCTCTTGCTGCGGTCCAGCGAGGCTGGCCTGGTCCCACATCCCGGGGTCAAGCCTGTGGCGCAGCGGGGCTTCCCTAAAACCTGGCCAAGTCCCACCGGGGGGAGGAAGAGGGCCGGCGGCCACCTCTTCAGGTGCGGCAGAGCGGTTTGTTTTCTGGGCACAGTGGGGTAGGAGGCATGGAAGTCACCCCGCAGGAGCTCTCTCTGTGGAGGGGAGGCCCGCTCCTCACCCCGTGGCGTCCTCTGTGGTGCTTTCATGTTGTGCGACCTGTTCAGGAGTCAGGAGGCTCCCTCATCCCCGGCAGGGCGCAGCCGCAGGCCTGGGCACAGGTCCAGCCCTCCCCCTCTGACCGAGCTCTCCCCTCCTAGGTGTGCGGCTCCCCTCCCTGTCGCCAGCAAGGGCAGAGGGGCTCCTCTCTGTGGGCAGCCCTGCTGTCTCCTCGGAGCGTGGCCGCCTAGCGGGCCATCCTGCCCCCCAGGACGCATGGAAGATGGCGGCCGGGGGGACGGCGGGGGGGCAGTGGGACCGCCTGGCGCCTGCCTCTGCCCAGACAGCCATGGGAGCAGCCGTCTTCCGGGGGAACGTGCCCGGCGGGCTCTGCAGCCCTGCGCTCCAGCCAGAACCTGCCTGGTAAGGCCTTGTGGCTGGCCGCCTTTGTGGGGTGGGGGTCCCACAGGGGCCGGCCGACTCGCCGTTTGGCCTCAGCAAGGCAACCCCTCGGAGTCCTCTGAGGCCCAGGGCCAGCTTGGCCTGCTGGAAGGCTGCCCCTGGGCCCCGCCTGGCGCCCCTTGTCCCCACGGCCAGCGCTCTGCGCAGAGGCGCCATGTTGGGTCCCCGTGCCAGGCCACGGAGGGCAGCGTGGTGGTGCTCGCATGAGTGTGTGTGTGCCCAGCCCCACCCCGCCTCCCTCTGGAGCCAGGGAGCCTCTGCTGCGCCTGACCAGGCAGCCCATTGACACCCCCTGCCCCCTCCATCTGCCTGAACGTTTCCTCTTGGCTGGACGCAGGCTCCGATTTGCTGGAGGAGCACCTGTCCGAGATGCGGATCCTGCACCAGCGCCTGCAGGAGACCATCCACACCAACGACCGCCTGCGGGAGCAGATGGAGGCGCGCTTGGCCGCGGGGGCAAGGAGTGGCGGTAAGAGAAGGGGCCTCTGTGGCAAGCAGGGGGGCCGTGGGGCAAGACCTCGTCGCTGCACTGCAAAGCAACGCCTGCCTCCGAAGGATGCCGCTGACGGGGAAGAGCCCCACCTCGCAGAACCACGTTGTTTCAGCCCCGCGTTCATCTCATGGCGGAAAGGAAAGCTCAGGAGCGTGCAGGGGCTCCCAAGCGCGCAGCGGTGCCGCTCAGTTTCTTCCCCGACTCTGACGCCCACGTGCAAAGCAGCTTGCAGGAAGTGGCGCCCCTCCTTCCACCCCCTTGGCAAAGCCCCCCCGAGCTCAGCGTTGGCGGGCCCTCTGCGGGGGAGGCAGCCCTGACCCTGCTCACTCCTGGGCTCGGGAGGCTCCCAGGGCGCATCACGGAACAAGGGTAACCCCAAAATGCATGAGCCAGCTCCGCGGTGCCGTGGCATGCCTGTCAGGTAGCGGGCGCCGAGGGAGGGGGGCGCACAGAACCGGCTGCTCAGCGGCGCCCCTGCAGCACGTGGCAGCAAGCGCCCCTTCCGCTCCCAGCCCCAGGCCTCCCGGAATCAAAGATCTGCACAAGCTCGGCCTTCCCCAGAGGTCAGGCAGCCCCCGGGCCGCTTGCCACAGTTTCTTCCCAGGCCTGCAGGCTCTGCTGGGGTCTCCTGGCTCCCAGGCACCTGGGGAGGCGCAGGCCCTGAAGTGCTTGGGCATGAGCCGGGCTCTACACCAGAGCACAGCCCAGGGGGGTGGATGGCACGGCAGTCCCCCAGGGGCTCCCAGTCCAGCTGCTGGGCTCTGGGCCTGGTCTGGTGGGAAGGAGCCCCTGGAGCTGCCCCAGGCCTCCCCCAGCTGCCTCTGGCAGGCGGAGGGGAGTGGAAGCCCCGGCGGGGCAGGAAGGGAGCCGGGCACCAGCACCATCCTCACAGCCTGCCTTGCAGTTGCTTGAGGGTCAGGCCTGTCTGTCCCCCACCACTTCAGAAATGGGGTGTGCTCTTGGAGGCCCGGAGCGCAGCTGCAGAAGGCTTCTGAGTGTGCTTCTCCTGGAGAGCTCCCGGGAGGCCAGGAGCAGGCTCTCTGCACGTGCCCCGTGCAAGAGTGGCCCTGACGAGCTCTTTGCACTCGTAGAGCTGGAGCACCTGCAGAAACCGCTGCCGGGACCCCCGGAAATGCGCAGGGGCGAGGTGGAGCCTGGGCAGGGGCGAGCGGCACAGCCACAGCCACAGCCACAGCGAGGGGGCCAGGACGAGCCGCGGGCAGGCCTGGCGCCACTCCAGGAGGCGTTCTGGGCTCTGCAGGCGAACAACTCCAGGTGGGCCAGGCAGCAGCTCTGAAATGGGGGTGCAGCGCGGGCAGGCCGAGCGTCTCCCTGTCCCCGGGCACCCATGCCCAGAGAGCTTTCGCCGGGTGGGGTGGGATTCTTCGGTACTGGCGAGGAGGGAAGTGCTTCCTCCGGCGTTTCCAAGGGCCGCTCGCAAGAAACGCTAACGGCACTTTTGAGAGATGGGTACCTGCGGCCAGAAGACAGGACTCGCCTGGCCCTTGTCCCGGGAGGTGGCTTGGCTCCCGCTGCCCCGTCCACTCGGGCCCCGAGGCATTTGCTCACGGAGCTGGCGGGTGGGGGGTCGTTTCCGTGGTCCTTCTCGCAGGCTTCAGCACCGAGTGATGCTGCTGCAGCAGGAGTGCATGGAAAACCGACTGCTCTTCAAAGCCTTGGAGGCAGAACTGCGTGTCCACAAAGGGCTCAGTGGCCGCCAGCAGCAGGCGGACTCAGGTGCGTGCTGCCCCCGCCCTCCCCCTTGAGCTGCCGCATGCGGAGTTCCCTCCTCCTCCTCCTCCTCCTCCTCCTCCTCCTCCTGAAAGAGGCGCAGTGAACGGGCCAGGCCGGTGCAGCTCCCTGCACCCTTCTGCAGCGGACGGCAGGCGCCTCCAGCCTCATGCCTGCTGCGCTCCTGCCATGGCTTCCTCGGGCAGGGCTGGCAGCCGCTCGCAGGCTCAGGTGGAGGACCCCGGGGGGGCGGCTCTCCGGGGCCCTGCAGGGCCTCCCCACTGCCAGAGCGGTGTGACCATGGATCTGGCTGCCCAGAGAGGCGGTGGGCGCTCCCACCCTGGCGACAGTCAAGGCGAACCTGGACGGCCCTCTGTGTGGGATGGTGTGGCATGATGGCCAGAGCGGGTGCCCCCGAGGGCCTTCTGGCCCCCCATCCCTGCTGTTCTGGGATTTTGTGAGTCCCCGCCACTGTTCACGGACCACCGAAGGCCTCCTGCTGAACGGACCCATCTTGGGTACCGTGGGGTAGCAGCCCCCACTTTCTCGACCAGCACGGAGGGCTCCTCCTCCCGGGGCTGAGCTGTGCCCCCCCTGCTGTCCTGACTGCTTCTGCCCACAGCTGTCGCCCCATTTGGAGCAGGGCAAGAAAAGCTTGCGCTTGCAAGAAACATAGAAACAGAGCGAGTCAGAAAGGACCTCCCAGGCCATCTAGTCTGACCCCCACTCCAGCTGGCTCCGCTCACGACATGCCCACCATGTGGACGTCCAGCCTGTCCTTGAACGCCCTCTCCGATGGGGCCTCAGCCACCTCCCGGGGAAGCCCATTCCATGCCCTCGGGGTCCTGACTGTCAGGAAGTGCTTCCTGGCATCCAAATGGAACCTTGGCTCCCTGAGCTTGGCTCTGTTGGAGCGCGTCCTGCCTTCCTCTGCAGGGGGGAACAGGTCTGTCCCCACCTCCGTGTGACACCCCCTCACATACCTGCATGTCGCCAACAGACCCCCTCTGAGTCTCCTCTTCTCCAGGCTGAAGAGACCCAGTGCCCTCAGTCTCGCCTCGTACGGCATCCCCTGCAAACCGGCCACCAACCTTGTGGCCCTGCACTCACACACAAGCAGCAGCCAAGGCCAGTCCCTCGTGGACCCTTGCGACTGTCACAGCAGTCACAAGCGAGCCCAGACAGGGGAGGCGGGGAGTTGAGCAGGGTCGAAGCTGGCCCCATGCACAGGAGCCGCAGTGCTGTGGGGATGCTGTGGGCCCCGCTTGGGTGCGTCCCTGGCGGGAGGGGCTCACGGGGGCTGTCTTCGCAGGGGCTTCTGCGCAGGAGAACCTGGAGCTGGCAGATGACGGCCATCGGTGGGGCGCCCTCGTCACAGGCCGCCTCGAGGACTATAGCAACCTGCAGCGGCAGATCCTGGAGGGCAAGACTCTGACCCACAAGATGGCCTCTCTCCTGCAGCCTTGCCTGGAACCACAGGGCAGCCAGGTAGCCCGAGAAGCGGGTGGCTGTGGGGCAGCATTGGGGGCAGGATGAAACCCAGCAGAATCTGTCCCTCTGGTACTCTTGGGCTTCCTCTCCTGCTCAGCCACTCTTCAACACAGGCCGGACTGGAAGGAGGCCCGTGCCGCTAGCAAGCGAGGGCCGTGTGGCTGGCAACCTCCTTCCACACAGGGTGCAGCCCCACAATGCCGCCAGGGGGTGCAGACGGCGATGCTGCAGGGGAGCATTGTGCGGGGCTCTGTCCTGGGGGCACCTCCCGGAGATGCCGGGTGCCCCCGCCTGGAACTTGGGTTGCAGCGAAGCAAAGGGCTGAGCCTGCTCCTTCGCCCCCTCGGGAACGCGCCCCCTGGGAAGGGTCCCTGGGGCACGGCACGGGCGTCCGGGGAGAGCCACTGGCCTCCTCGCGACAGAGCACCCTCTGTCCCTGCAGGTGTTTTGCCACGAGCGCCTTGCGGAGCTGCTTGCCAGCACTTGCGCTTTGCACCGGATCCTGGAGACAGCTGCCTCCCTGCTCGCTGCGTTCTGGAGAGGAGCCCTCCCCACGTCTCGAGTACGGCAGATGCTGAGCAGCCCCTTCCTGCCCCCGCCAGCCCCCTCCTCTCCCCCCCACAGAAGAAGGCTCCCCTCCCATTTTAAATGCCTGGGGAGGGGGGGACTGTTGGGCACTCTGCTCCCTTTCAGAGCTGGCAAAGCTGGTTTTCCCTTCCCACAGTCTTTCTGCTGTGAGTGCAGCGGTCATGGAAGGGGAGCCCCTTTGTCCTCCACGTTACCATCCGTGGCGCTAGAAAACCCTCTTCTCCCGGATCTTCTCTCCCCTGCAGGAGATGCAGCTGCTCAAAGCCAAGGTGGTTGAGCAAGAGAACCGCCTGCACAGTGCCAGCCAAGTGCAGAAGAGCATGGAGAGCTTTCTCCTCGCTCACCGTAAGTGGCGCCCTGTCGGCCAAGCGGGGGGGCACTGGGCTGAACTGCCGGTCCCACAGTGGCGCGCAGGCCCGGCCACGACACCCACAGTGGGCGCCTTCCACATGGGGCGGAAGCCTCCTCCCTCTTCTAGGACGGGCAGAAGCACACTGCCAGCGCTCGCTGGGCTCCTCCGCACCTGGAAGCGCACTCGCCTTGTCCGCACCTCCGGCCAGGAGTGTGTGCATTTCCTCGAGTGGGAGAAACGTGTGCTTAGCTTGAGAAAGCAGCACGTGTTTTAAAGTGCTCATTTTCACAGCTGTAAAGGGGGTGGGGGAGGGGGAATGGCTGTGCAGCCAGGAGGCCGGGAGCACCCCCGCCATCGAGGGGCCCCCGCGTTTTGCGGAGCAGGTGGTGGCACTCCGAGCGGGGCCGGGCCTGGGGCTGCCGAGGGTGCAAGGGCCCGGCCTCGGCAGCAGGCACGCCGAACCTGCCGGCCGTCTCCACCTTGCCGCGCATGGAGCCGCAGGAGGCCAGGCGCATGGTCCTGCCGCTCCTCAGGGCAGTGACTGTTCTTTTGCAGTGACCCGGACGCATGACGTGCTGAGGAGAGCGAGGACAAACCTGGAGGTAAATGCGCCCCCCCCCCCGCTGAGCGCAGCCGTGGCGCAGGGACGTGTCCTGGGGCAAGCCGGGGCTCGTGGCACCAAGTTGTCACGACGGCCACCACGGAGGGCTGTGCGAGGGACCTGGACACATCCCTGGGCGGGCAGCTCCGGGGGCTGATGGGCCGGGGGCTCCGTGCGGCCCCAGGATCGGAGGCTGCCTGCCTGCCTGCACGCAGCGGGAGCCTGCGCAAGGCGCTCTCGCATGAGCCCCTTCTGGAGGGCTTGTCATGAGCAGCTGTGGGGGGGGCGAACAGGCCCCGATCCCGATCCAGCAGGGCGTTCACGGCATTCTGCCCATTCAGCGGGTGAAGAGAACCGTGGGGCCTGCCCCAGAGGCATGCCTGCCACCCCTCTTTCTGGGCCAGGCGTCGATTCCTCTGCATCGGTGCCCAGGCCTGGTTTGTGGGGTGAAGCGGCCGACACCCAAGTTCTTGTTCCCGGAATGCAGTGCGCTTCCTGCCCTTCTGTGCTGGGGGCGCCCTCCGGCTCCCGTTGGATCCCCCTGTGGCTGGCCGTGGTTTATGACCAGGAACTTGTTGCCATGCTGGCCATTGGCCCGGGGGGGGGGTGGCCCCAGCCCTGGCCGCCTTGAGCCCCTCCCCTGCTTAGGCTGCACTCTGGGGGCACTGCTGCCCCCAGGGCTGCCAGTGGGAGTTGTTCAGCCCTGAGGCCTCGTGCGAGCGGGAGGCGCGTCCTCCGGTCCCCAGACCGCCTTTCATGGCCCGGCTCGACCGTTGGGGCCAGGAGTCGGAGGGCTCCCCTGACCACTTGGCTTTCGCGGTTGCCACAGGGGGTGTCCCAGCAGCCGGCGATCGTCTCCTCCATCGTGTGACTGCGTTTGGGCGTGAGCTGGGATGCTCACAGGGCATCAGGAGGAGGAAGACGCCGGGAGCAAAGGCCAGACCCTGTGCTCCGTGGAGGCCCGACCCCCCTTGGCTGTGGGCGCCAGCGGCTTCCATGTGAGACCCACGGAACGAAGGGACCCGCTCAGCCGCCTCCACCGCGTGCTCGGAGGGGCCTGCCGGCTGCCAGATGCCCGGCTGGGAGATGCCGAAAATGCTCCAGCTGCCAGTGCGATATGCGAAGCCAGCCCGATCCCCCGTGCGCGGCACTGCCAGAGGGAAGGCCGTTCCGGTGGGCACCTCCACTCATGCCGTCCGGTCCTCTTACTCCATGACCGCCCTGGAGCCGCACGTGTGCCCAGGCGACACGTCCCTCGTGGTGGAGGGCGCGCCCTCGACGGGTGCTCCACAAGCGGGATTGCGCTGGACGGGGCGGGGGGGGGGGGGGCCGCGGGGCCCCGGGGGTTTTATTTTTTGAAGTTGCCTCTTAGGGGGGCCCCCCCCCCCCCAGCTTCTTTTCTGAGCAGCTGCCCTGCAGCTCGTCCTGTGACTGACGGGGTGGGGGCTGGAAGGCCACAACGTTTGCCTGGAGTGGAGCTGCAGCCGTCAGGGAAGCGCAGAGCCCCTGCCAGCAGCTTGCCAGTTTTTCCAAAAAGAATTAAACTCCCCCCTTCTTTTACGTGAGTGCCTGATAGATTTTTCTCAACCCCCACGGTGTGCGCATGTTGGGGGGGTGGGGGACAAGCCACGCAGTGCCGCTTCAGGTCTGCACAGGCTGCCGGAGATGACCCGGTGCGTGAAGGGGGCAACGGCTGTGGTGCGCAACGTCTGGAAAACGCACACGTCGCAGCCAAGCCTTTTTAGGCATGTCAGAGCAAAAAGGGGAAGTTATGCAGCCAACAAGTGCCAGTTTGTGTCACAATAAACCTGCTTTGCACCTTCACAGGCCTGAGTCTCTTGCGTTTGCCCAGTGGCTCCAGTGTCACACAGATGTGCTGCAGTTCCAGGTTGTGGCACAACAGGACGTGCAGCTCGGGCAGAGGGTTGGCGCTTTGACAAGGCGCTGCGTCTCCGCTCAAACTCAGTGACCAAACGGCCCCCGCCCGCTTGGTGCCCGCAGGCTTTACCGTGATGAGAATTAGAGGAGTCTGTCTTTGTTTCACTGCCTTTCTTGCAAGCTACCCAAGGAAGTTTTTGAAGGACACTGCACAAATGCATAAACAAGCAACCAGTTTATTTTTTCCAGCCACAAAACTAGGAAGCACAAATCACGCAGGCCCAGCCATCTGCCCTGAGGCCTCCTGCAAAGACCCTGACCCTCGATGGTATCGGGGAGGGGGCTGCAATGAGGTGGTCTCCACCGGGACTGTCGGGGCACCGGACAGTCCTGCGCCCACGTGCCTGGAGTGCCCTGGAGCCTTTGGCCGCACAAAAACCGGCACACGGCAGCAAGCACGAGCCACTGCGCAGCCCGCCTCTGCGGCCGCCCCACGGGAAAGGTGGCGCCAGGCGCATCTGGGGGCGGTGGGCGCGCCTGTCACCAGAGCTGCACGCGGGTGCCATGCCACTCCGGGCCTCCCCCGCTCCCGGGGTGGCCCAGAGGCGTCGCACAAGCCGGCAGCCATGCAAGATGCAGGGCCGCCCATGGGGCGCCTGGCACGCCGTGCCGCTGAGCCACGTTCCCAAGGATCAGCGCTGGGGGTTGGCCTGAGGCCGGGAGGGGCTGCCGGGCTGCTTCCGTCCCCCCGGCCTCGCCTCACGCAGGCCCCGGACAGTCGCCTGACGCGGCCTCCATCCAGCCCCAGCATGCCCCCAAGTGGCAGCACGACGGCCCGTCGATCCCGAGGACACGGGCGCGACTCCCCCTCAGCCCTCGCATCCCGCCGCAACTGAGCCCTGCGGGGGCTGCCCGCCAAGTGCGGGAGGAGAGGGTCCTGGGTGGCCAGCAGTGGAAGTTCCCCGCTCTCGGCCTGGCACCAGCCTCTCCTATGCCTGACCTGACCACAGGGCCAACACAGCCAGCTCCGGCCAGGGCTCAACCTGGTCTCGGCTTGCCCCTGCGGCCGGCGCAGCCCCCCTCCCACCCCGCGCGGCACTCCGTGTGCGGCCCCAGCGGGTTCCCATGCCTGGAAAAGGTCGTGGAAGGCCGTTCTGGGGCGCCTCGGCATTTCCTTTTCACAGGCCGGGCATCGAGTGCCCCGGGCTGGGGCTGTGACCAAGCCATCTGCCGCGACTCCAAGTGCCGTCACCACGGCCACCTTCTGTGTCGGCCACGCAGCCCTGCCGGCATGGCTCACAAAGCCTCGCCTCGCCTCGCCTCGCGAGCAGCCGAGGCAGCTAACAATGCGCCGGGAGCGCTGGCTGCCAGCTCTGCGGAGCCATGGTTGGTGTGTGCCGCTGACTCAGCGGGGCCCCAGCAGCGGCTCCCCGGCCTGGTCCCTACCCCGAATGCCAGCTCAGTCCGCCCCGGCAGCTGAGGGCTGCTCCAAGCCAGGCTGGAAGCGCCCCCACAGCCCTCCCCCCGCCGGGCCGCGTTTGTGCAGCAAGGAGTGCCGGACACAGGAGGCGGGCGGCACGGCAGCGCTGCCTTGCGGGGACTGGAACTGGGGGGGCAGCCTGGGACCCCCGCCCAGCTTCTGCCGGCCAGGTGTGACCGAGGGAGCAGGAGCCCCAGGCCGCTGCTCCCAGTGCAGGGAGGAAAGGAGACAGGGCTGGGGAGAGGGGGAGGAGGCAGCCCCTCCAAGGAAGCCCCCCTAACCCTACCCCCACAGCAGAAGTCCGAAGCAGGAAAAAGACGCCCGACTGTTCCATCGAAGGACTCGGAACGCGGGCCGGGACTCCCCGCAAACACGCAGGCCTGGGCAGAGGCCAGCCCGCACTCGGCAGGGAACGGGCGGGCTTGTCGTGCGTGGCCAGAGAAGAGGGGCGGGCAGCGAGTGGCCGGGAACACTGCAAAAGGGGGGTGGGCAGGCGCGGGGACCGCCTCTCCACCAACGGGGCCAGGGCACTCCCGGCCACGACCGGTCAGGACGGCGCTCACACGGGAGGTGGGCGGCCTGATCCTGGGCCGGCCATGCCAGAGGAAGGCAGCCATGAGCCACACCCCAATCTGTGCCCCGGGGCACTGGCCATGCGACTTCTCGCCCCCGGGCGGCAGTCGGCGGTGCCAGCTCCCGTTGGCACCACAGCAGGCGCTGTTCTTCGGACGTGAGAACACGCCTCACAGTAGCCAGCCTCAGAGCGGCGCCATGCCTCCGTGCAAAAGTGCAGCGGGAAGCCTCAGACCGAGCCGGGCCCATGGAGACCGTGCACATGCGGAGGGCCTACGGAGCGGCTGTCGGGACGGGAGAGCCGCCCCGCAGCTCCGGGGCAGCGCCTGCCTGGGCCTGCACCTGCTTCCCACGACAGGCCCGGCGCCCGGGAACCGCACAAAGGCCCAGGAGAGTGACATTTCCTGCCACTCCACCGCAGCATCCCGAGCCCCACGTGGCCAGCGAGGCAGATCTCCTCCCTCCCTCCCCTCCCCAATTTAAAGTGCCGGGGCACACGCACTACGGAAAAACCAGGGCAAGCACGGTGGCGTGGAGGCGGGCACAGGTGACTGTGCAGGGCCAGGTGAGGGAAGGAGGTGGGCCCGGTGGCCGGGATGCGGCACTACGCCCAGAGAGCTCCGGCAGGGGAGAACCACGAATGGGCAGGCCAGCAGGCCACCCGGAGCAGGTCTCCTTCCTAGGAGAGCCTGCCTCTCATTTGCCATGCAGAGCAGGTGACGCACCCAAGCAGTCAGTGCAGCCAGTGCCTGTGCTACGAAGAGACACAAGGTCTGTGTAGGAAGCGGTCCTCGGGGAGCAAGGGAAGCCTGTCCGGAGCCCCTGGTGGGCTGGCGCCAGGCGGCTTTCCCTGGCGAAGGAGCTCCCCTGTGTCCGCCGCACCCGGCTCAGATGGGCTTGTAGAGCAGGGTGGTGACGTACTTCTTCTTGTAGCGATGGGTGGCGCTGAGCACCATGACGCCGTCCTGCGGGAGAGCAGGGCGTCAGTGGGGTCCCCGGAGGGCCGGTGATGGGAGGGGCAACAAGGGACGTGGGGAGGCTGGAGCCCGAGGTTGTCTGTGAAGGACCTTGGACATTTGCCAGTCCTGCACCCTCCGCTGCATCCAGTTAAGCCAGAGACCAACCACCGTGCCGGGAAGGCAGCTCCGGCCCGTCCTGAGACGCTCGGAAGAAGCGGGGGGGGGGGCGAAGCGAGGAGCCAGCCAAGAGGCAGGCGCTGCACGCGGCCTCGGGCACCGGCAGGCAAGGTGGGCTCGCGCTCCGGCTGCGCACCCGCCTCCTACTAAGACCGGGAGCTGCGGCAGGGCGGCTCGCCCCTTTGCAGCCAAGCAGCGCGCCAGCCGGACACGCAGGGCAGAGGAGCGGAGGGGCGCCCCCCCGGCCGGCCCACGCAGCCTGCGAACCCTCACCTGGCCGGCGCTTACCTTGATGGAGAGGGCGTACAGGTGGTTCAGCATCACATGGTTGGGCTCAGGCAGGAGGGCCGGGTCGCACTGGAAGAAACACGGGCAGCGTCACTCCGCGCAACTTCCGGCCCCCCTGAGCCTTGTGCTCGCCCAGCAGAAGGCGACGTGGGCTGGCTTGCTCCGGACGCTCTGGCCAGCCCGTGCTTCGCTGCAGCGACTCCCTCGCGAGGGAGGGTGGCTGGCAGGCAGCTCAGCTGTTCCTGCGGTCCCCGAGCAGGCAGGCTCTGCCCCACACGTCGGGGGAGCCCCCAAGCCTAGCTTCATCCAGGGCTGCCATGAAGCTCACGCAATTTCCCCTGCGTGCTCTTCAGTTGTGACGGGGGGAACAGGCTTGCCACCCGACTCGGCTTGGCTTCCCCAGGAATCTGAGGCTGCTCCGGGTGCCATCTGGCTTGGGTTAGTTGCTCAAGCACCTGCAGGCAGGCAAACGGTGCCGCCCGCCCAGGCTGTCCTCCCAGCTTTCACCTGAGGCGGCACGGCCCAGCCCTGCTGCCCTCTGGCCCCCGGCTCGTGCTCCCGAGCTTTGGTCTGCAGTGCTTGGGAGGGGCACTCACCGAAATGTTCGTGTCCTTGTTCAGGATGACCTGGAGGAGGTGGGGAGGGAGGATGGGTGGGGATTTGAAGCGCTCCTCTGGCCGATAGGCGTACATTTCCTGGCCATAAATTCCAGGTGGGGAGCCAGAAAGGTCTGGTGAAAACAAAGACAGTGTGAGAGAAGAATCCAGAACGACAACATTTCGGATATTCACACCAATGGCACAAGAGAGGTCACCTCGACAAGAAGTCTCTGAACTTTCCAGGGAGTCCACTTTTAAAGCATCAAAGACTTCAAAGTCAGACTTCTTGACATGAATAATATTGTTAATTGTCCCCATCTGACTGGTGACCACAGGCTGGAAAAAAAAGAGAGAATGCCACAGCCACGGCTCCGCTGCCAGCGGCCCCTCGTGTGCTCGCGCACAGCCAAGTCATACCTTCCTCGATGTGCAAAGTGGGGACCACGGAGGTGCCCCCCCGCGCAACCAGCCTGCAGACCCGCAGCAATGCACGCATGCACGCACGCGCGCTGGCCAGCCCCTTCCAGCTCCATTCGCCCCCAGGCCAGGCCTGCTCGGCAGCTGTGGGCGAGGAGGTCTCAGCCCCGTGGGGCCAGCTCCCTCAGGTGCCGGGCCAGCTGCGGATCTGCCCCGAACCGGGAGGAGTCAGTGGAGAGCAATTCCGGCCTGCTCAGAGGGAACTGCAATGGGAACGGGGCTGCAGCATCTTCGGTCGTTGTGCTCAGCAGGAGCCGCTTCCGTTAAAGGCGCAGGGCCCTGCCTTCTGCACCCAGGGACCCATGCATTGTTGCAAAGATTGAAGAAATAAACAGAACGCAAACAAACAGAAGATTTGGGCCTTCCCGTGCAAATTCTAAATATGCTTCCAGTCCTAAGTACTTTAAACGCTCCAAGTGCTACACTGCCAGCACCTCCCCGAAGCATCCGAACCTGCTCCGCCTCGGTTTTATTCATGGAAAGCAGCCCTGTATATTCCCAAATTTCAAAAATAAACCTGACATAGTCTAAACATGGGCCCTGCCAGTTGCTTCTAGGCAGCTAGTACAAAAACATGCATGAGTCAGATAATCAACCCTCAAATAAAGCAAGCATGTAAAACTATATATCTTCCAATTAAAACCTACCCAATTCCACTGTGAAGAAGTTAGCTAGAGTGTGATAAACACACCCAGACACACTTACGAAGCGATGCATAAATTGAGACACCTGACGGCTAGCATGGCTTTCAGGTGGCAGAGAGCTGCTCGCTCCCCCCAGAAAAGCTAAAAGACCGGCTGCGTGACCGCCAGGGGCCTGTGCGATGCTGAGGGCACAGGGAGCGGCGCTTCCACTGGCTCTGGGCCCCCGAGCCCATCTGCGTTCTGGAACTGTCAGCAGCTGCAAAAGGCTGCTCGGCAGGAGTACCGGCTTGCACTGGGGAGCATGGGCCCAGAGAAACCGGCAGGGGGGGGGGCAGCAGGCAGCCCTGCCCGCCCCAGCCATGGCCTCTTGCAGCCTCTGCCGCAAACCCCAGGGGGACCTCACCTCGGCCGCGTGGGGGAAGACGCGTGCAGGCGGACCTCACCTCGGAGGGGTCGTGCACCCACTGGCCGTCCACAAAGAACTTGTACTGGTGCTCCCCTTCGGGAAGGTCCAGAATAGCAACGAAGTCGTTGTGGCTGAAAGAGGAGGGACGCCCACTGTGAGAGGCGGCATTGACAGTTGTTCCCCCCCCCATAACCCTGAGCAATGAGGGGCGCCTGCACAGGCCACCCGGACATGGCCGGCAGGAGCTGAGGGAGAACCTGCAGCTGCAGGCGTGAGTCTGCCGGGACGGCTCTGGGAGCAGCTGCAGGCGGGCGGAAAGAGCGGGCTGGCGCTCGCGGCAGGAGGCGGCAGGCCCCCCCCAAGATCCCAGAGCAGGAAAGAGGCACCTGGAAAGGAACCCGCTCGATGTCCCATTTGGGAAGACTGAGCCGATCCAGCAGTGGCCGAGTGGCTGAGCCTGCTAATTAAAAGCACGGCTTCTGAGGCAGCTTGCGATGTCAAGGAAGTTCTGGCTCTGGCAGATGCCCCGAAAAACCATTGCGAGCTGCCCCTTCTTCACCTTTTAATGAGGGGGATCTTGGCACTCCAGTTGTTGAAGGATCCCGAGATGAAGACCTCCTTGCCTCCTTCCGTCCAGCGGATGACCGTGGGACGAGCCTGCTGGGTGGGCTTGAGGGACTCATCCAAGTCGTGGTGCCAGGACACAAAGTCCTTTTCCTCGGGAAGCTGGAGGGGGAGACAAGAGCAGCGCCTTGCTCCAACCTCCAGCACACAAGGCCGCGCATGGAAGCTGCACCTGCGGTCAGTGCGTGAGCAAGCAAGAACTGGCGCGGGGCAGGGGACCTCCTTCTCGCTCGGATCAGCCTGATGCAGGCCCTGCAGCAAAGGGCTCCCTCTCCCGCTTGGCTCGACAGGAGGTGCTTTCGCAGTGTTCACAGTGTGTGTTTTCTGCCCAAAGCAGTTGAAATACCGACCTCACAAGAAAGGGATCCTCTCGACCTGCACTGGATGTTGGCCTCACACAAGTTCTGCTCAGGTCAATGGAACTGACACGAGCAGCGATCCTACATCACGATGTATGGTTATTTGCCCATCTCCTGGAACTTCGCCTTCCCGCTCCCTGATATGGGTTGATTGGGGCAGGTTGTAAGAGAAGGCCCCGTTACGCAGCGGCCTGTTGGAGGAGAGGCCCGCCCGCATCCCAGCAAACCACCAGGAACACCCGTGCTCATCCTGCTCCTATCTGCATTCTGCGCCCAGGAAGACTCAGGGCACCACAGCTCCAGGATCCAACCTGAACTGGCAGCCAGCGCTGAAGCGACCGCGGGCGGGACTGGCCTGTACCTTGGAGTCCTGGGTGCTGAAGACGTTGGGGTCATCGGTGCTTCCAACCATGATCTTGTGCGGATGGTCCTTGGCATGATGCGTGCTGCTGGCCCCATCGGAGCGGTGAGACTTGGATCCGTGGCGCTCCCCAGACACCCGCTCACTGGTGGTGTTCCCCATGGCAGCACTGCGAGACGAGAAGGTGGGGGACACGCTAGCACTCCCCAGGGCACGACCGGGCCCTCTAGCCCTACGGCAACCGGACGTCGGGGTGCTAAAAGGCAACCTGCCCAGCATCCCCCCAGGAGGAGGGAGAAGGAAGCACAGCCCCCTCCTGGAACCCCCGGCCAACTGGACGGTGCTCGCCTGGATACAGAGCTTCTGAGGCAGGTAATACAGAGCGTTTTGTTTTCCGTTTTCCAAAAAAGCGTGGGCTTCCGTAGGAGAGCCGGAGGGACAAAGAGGGAAAGGGTGGAGGGGCAGGCATTCTGGGTGGCTGGACGGTGTGAGGACAGGCACGCCGAGGAGGGGCAGGTGCTGGATTGAGCAGGTCCAGAACTTTGGGGTAAGCTGTGGATCAGAGTGTGCGGGAACGAGCTCTGAGTTCTTTGGGGCTGTGTGTGGGTGCACACACGCAGGCAAACAGCACCTGCCTCCGCAGACCCCCAGTTTGGCTACTGGGCCATAAAGGGAGCGCACACGCTTCAAGTGCTTCCCCAGGGACCAGTTTTCCTGCAGCAAAACTTGGCAAAAGCTGACCAACATCACTTTGACTTTAAGACAGTTGGCTGTACTTATCAAGATGTGGTAAAGTGGTTATTCTGAATATTCAGTAGCATATTCAGCTTATTCTTACAGATGCTGAGCCAAACCTGCTGTTTTATCAGCTGACTCTTTCTAGAAAGTCACTTAGCAAAATTCAAGTGAGCTTGGGAGACACACACAGAGAAGGAAACAGACGCCAAGGAAATCCAGAGTGAAGGTGGCAGCTGCTCCCAAGTCCCCAAATGCATTGCTCAAGAGAGGTGATGCCAGCAAGAATCAAAAGAGCTGGGGGGAATTAAAGGGACAGGCCACCGTTCCTGGGCAGGCAGCCCTCAGGACAAGTGTGGCTGGCAAGGGTGCTGGATGCACCACGGTGAGCAACTCTGGCGGATCCCCGCCGGCCAGCGTCAAGCGATGCCAGAGCACCACAGGACCCAAGCCGGGGGGGGGGGGGGGGCAGCCACTGATGGACACAGTCAAGCTACCCCAGGCCAGCCCCCACCCCTCTGAATCACCAATTAATTTATGACAGCAGAAAGAGGCTAAAGGCCCCACCAAAGCTAAAGAGGAGTCGATCATCCTAAAGGATATTTTCCTGTTTGTCACACAGGAACAATGGAATTGTTTTGAATCAACCTGCAACAACAGAGTTTTAAAATAACACCCTCCTCAGATGGAAAACTGCTGTCATTTTTAGCAATTTAATAATTTTCAGAGAATTAAAAGCGAGTTTCCCAGCCTTGTTGTCCCCTTTTGTTTGGGACAATGCTCTCCGGGACACGGGGCGATGTCCTGGCTGAGGGCTGACTCCGCTGGCATGTTCCAGGGTGGGAAGGAATGCCTGAGCACACTGGTTCTGCCTGGTCATTTAAGGGACCTCCAGAGAGGAGGCTGCGAGGTTCCTCTGGAAAGAAACCGAACAGCTATTCTCTTTAACTCCTTAAAAAGAGCCTTTGAGCTGATGGGCAGTGGAGGAAATAAATAAATAACTAAATAAAATGGGAGGGGGGAAGGTTTTCCGTGGAAAGGGAAAAAACACCAAAAGATCCTGGGGGGGGGGGAATGGGGGTTACATGTTGAAGGTAATTACTTGGACCCCATAAAATCCGGATACCAGGCGCAGCTACAAGACTATCTAATACATCCTTCAACTTATTGAGCTCAACGGAACACGAAGTCTTTGCACTGCCTATCTACAACTACATTTAATTTAGCAACTGTGACCCAGAGATGGCTAAAGCTTAGTGTTTTTTCCTATTGACAAAACAAAAGTAAACATGCGCAGCGGGGGACCAACAACCAAACATAAGGAAAAATGTCCAGACGGCCGGACCCGAGCAGCACCGGAACGGCCTTCCAGGGCAAGCCGCGCTCCCCGCCCCGGAGGCGCCCGGGGCAGCCGGGCAGCCTCCTGCCGGGGCGCTTCAGCCGGAGCCGCGCGAAGCCGGCCTGGCCCGCGGGCCAAAGTGCGCCCAGCGGCGCCGCCGCCACGTCCCTTCTGCGCCTCGGCCGCGCGCCGGCAGCTCGGCGGGGCCCGCACCGGTCCCCGCCAGCCCGGGGGGCGCACTCCGCCG